TAGGGGGAATACTGGAGATGAGACATGGAATTGTGCTCCTTTCCAAGGAGAATACTGGAGGTGAGACCATGGAATTGTACTCCCTTCCAAGGGGAATACTGGAGGTGAGACCATGGAATTGTACTCCCTTCCAAGGGGAATACTGGAGATGAGACATGGAATTGTGCTCCTTTCCAAGGGGAATACTGGAGGTGAGACCATGGAATTGTACTCCCTTCCAAGGGGAATACTGGAGGTGAGACATGGAATTGTGCTCCTTTCCAAGGGGAATACTGGAGCTGAGACATGGAATTGTACTCCCTTCCAAGGGGAATACTGGAGGTGAGACTCTGGAATTGTACTCCCTTCCAAGGGGAATACTGGAGGTGAGACACTGGAATTGTTATTCCTTCTAAGGGGAATACTGGAGTTGAGACTATGGAATTGTACTTCCTTCCAAGGGGAATACTGGAAGTGAGAGATGGAATTGTACTCCCTTCTAAGGGGAATACTGGAGGTGAGAGATGGAATTGTACTCCCTTCTAAGGGGAATACTGGAGTTGAGACTATGGAATTGTACTTCCTTCCAAGGGGAATACTGGAAGTGAGACACTGGAATTGTTATTCCTTCCAAGGGGAATACTGGAGGTGAGAGATGGAATTGTACTCCCTTCCAAGGGGAATACTGGAGGTGAGACACTGGAATTGTACTCCCTTCCAAGGAGAATACTGGAGGTGAGAGATGGAATTGTACTCCCTTCCAAGGGGAATACTGGAGGTGAGACATGGAATTGTACTCCCTTCCAAGGGGAATACTGGAGGTGAGACCATGGAATTGTGCTCCCTTCCAAGGGGAATACTGGAGGTGAGACACTGGAATTGTTATTCCTTCCAAGAGGAATACTGGAGGTGAGACTCTGGAATTGTACTCCCTTCCAAGGGGGAATACTGGAGGTGAGAGATGGAATTGTACTCCCTTCCAAGGGGAATACTGGAGGTGAGACTCTGGAATTGTACTTCCTTCCAAGGGGAATACTGGAGGTGAGACACTGGAATTGTTATTCCTTCCAAGGGGAATACTGGAGGTGAGACACTGGAATTGTACTCCCTTCCAAGGGGAATACTGGAGGTGAGACACTGGAATTGTTATTCCTTCCAAGGGTAATACTGGAGGTGAGACACTGGAATTGTACTTCCTTCCAAGGGGAATACTGGAGGTGAGACAAGGAATTGTAATCCCTTCCAAGGGGAATACTGGAGGTGAGACCATGGAATTTTGCTCCCTTCCAAGGGGAATACTGGAGGTGAGACACTGGAATTGTACTCCCTTCCAAGGGGAATACTGGAGGTGAGACACTGGAATTGTAATCCCTTCCAAGGGGGAATACTGGAGGTGAGACATGGAATTGTACTCCCTTCCAAGCGGAATACTGGAGGTGAGACACTGGAATTGTTATTTCTTCGAAGAGGAATACTGGAGGTGAGACTCTGGAATTGTACTCCCTTCCAAGGGGGAATACTGGAGGTGAGACATGGAATTGTGCTCCCTTCCAAGGGGAATACTGGAGGTGAGACATGGAATTGTACTCCCTTCCAAGGGGGAATACTGGAGGTGAGAGATGGAATTGTATTCCCTTCCAAGGGGAATACTGGAGGTGAGACTCTGGAATTGTACTTCCTTCCAAGGGGAATACTGGAGGTGAGACACTGGAATTGTTATTCCTTCCAAGGGGAATACTGGAGGTGAGACACTGGAATTGTACTCCCTTCCAAGGGGAATACTGGAGGTGAGACACTGGAATTGTACTCCCTTCCAAGGGGAATACTGGAGGTGAGACTGGAATTGCCCCTTCCAAGGGGAATACTGGAGGTGAGACACTGGAATTGTACCCCTTCCAAGGGGGAATACTGGAGGTGAGACTCTGGAATTGTATTCCCTTTCAAGGGGGAATACTGGAGGTGAGACATGGAATTGTGCTCCCTTCCAAGGGGAATACTGGAGGTGAGACATGGAATTGTACTCCCTTCCAAGGGGAATACTGGAGGTGAGACACTGGAATTGTACTCCCTTCCAAGGGGAATACTGGAGGTGAGACAGGGAATTGTACTCCCTTCCAAGGGGAATACTGGAGGTGTGACCATGGAATTGTACTCTCTTCCAAGGGGAATACTGGAGGTGAGACACTGGAATTGTACTCCCTTCCAAGGGGAATACTGGAGGTGAGACACTGGAATTGTAATCCCTTCCAAGGGGAATACTGGAGGTGAGACACTGGAATTGTAATCCCTTCCAAGGGGAATACTGGAGGTGAGACACTGGATTTGTACTCCCTTCCAAGGGGAATACTGGAGGTGAGAAAGGGAATTGTACCTAGTTCCAAGGGGAATACTGGAGGTGAGACATGGAATTGTACTGCCTTCCAAGGGGAATACTGGAGGTGAGACATGGAATTGTACTCCCTTCCAAGGGGGAATACTGGAGGTGAGAGATGGAATTTTACTCCCTTCCAAGGGGAATACTGGAGGTGAGACATGGAATTGTACTCCCTTCCAAGGGGAATACTGGAGGTGAGACCATGGAATTTTGCTCCCTTCCAAGGGGAATACTGGAGGTGAGAGATGGAATTGTACTCCCTTCCAAGGAGAATACTGGAGGTGAGAGATGGAATTGTACTCCCTTCCAAGGGGGAATACTGGAGGTGAGACACTGGAATTGGAATCCCTTCCAAGGGGAATACTGGAGGTAAGACACTGGAATTGTACTCCCTTCCAAGGGGAATACTGGAGGTGAGACACTGGAATTGTACTCCCTTCCAAGGGGAATACTGGAGGTGAGACACTGGAATTGTAATCCCTTCCAAGGGGAATACTGGAGGTGAGACACTGGAATTGTAATCCCTTCCAAGGGGAATACTGGAGGTGAGACACTGGAATTGTACTCCCTTCCAAGGGGAATACTGGAGGTGAGACATGGAATTGTACCCCCTTCCAAGGGGGAATACTGGAGGTGAGACACTGAAATGGTACCCCCTTCCAAGGGGAATACTGGAGGTGAGACCATGGAATTCTACTCCCTTCCAAGGGGAATACTGGAGGTGAGACACTGGAATTGTATTCCCTTCCAAGGGGAATACTGGAGGTGAGACATGGAATTGTACTCCCTTCCAAGGGGGAATACTGGAGGTGAGACACTGGAATTGTAATCCCTTCCAAGGGGGAATACTGGAGGTGAGACACTGGAATTTTACCGCTTCCAAGGAGAGTACTGGAGGTTAGAGATGGAATTGTACCCTTTCCAAAGGGGAATACTGGAGGTGAGACTCTGGAATTGTACTCCCTTCGAAGGGGGAATACTGGAGGTGAGAGATGGAATTGTACTCCCTTCCAAGGGGAATACTGGAGGTGAGACACTGTAATTGTAATCTCTTCCAAGGGGAATACTGAAGGTGAGACTCTGGAATTGTACCCCTTCCAAGGGGGAATACTGGAGGTGAGACACTGGAATTGTAATCCCTTCCAAGGGGAATACTGGAGGTGAGAGATGGAATTGTGCTCCCTTCCAACGGGAATACTGGAGGTGAGACACTGGAATTGTACTCCCTTCCAAGGGGAATACTGGAGGTGAGACTCTGGAATTGTATTCCCTTTCAAGGGGGAATACTGGAGGTGAGAGATTGAATTGTGCTCTCTTCCAAGGGGAATACTGGAGGTGAGACACTGGAATTGTACCCCTTCCAAGGGGGAATACTGGAGGTGAGACACTGGAATTGTACTCCCTTCCAAGGGGAATACTGGAGGTGAGACATGGAATTGTACTCCCTTCCAAGGGGGAATACTGGAGGTGAGACTCTGGAATTGTATTCCCTTTCAAGGGGGAATACTGGAGGTGAGTGATGGAATTGTGCTCCCTTCCAAGGGGAATACTGGAGGTGAGACACTGGAATTGTACCCCTTCCAAGGGGGAATACTGGAGGTGAGACTCTGGAATTGTATTCCCTTTCAAGGGGGAATACTGGAGGTGAGAGATTGAATTGTGCTCCCTTCCAAGGGGAATACTGGAGGTGAGACACTGGAATTGTACCCCTTCCAAGGGGGAATACTGGAGTTGAGACTCTGGAATTGTACCCCTTTCCATCGGAATACTGGAGATGAGACTCTATGAAGATTTTAGAGTTGAGTCAATTGGCACCATTTCTGCCTTTAACACTTTAATCTGATTTTACCATATCACAGTCATGTGAAGATTTTTGACATCTGAATCAATTAAACACCTTTTGGCTTCATTGGGTTGATTGGGTCATACAATTCAAATTCTTGTTCACATTTTGCCATGAATGGCCTCTACAGAATTTCATTTAAATTGGTTCAAAAGTTTTTGAGAACAGGAGCATATCATTTGTTTCGGACTGATGGATGAGGTTGCGAGTCTCAACAAACAGGAAGATAGGTTTTGAGTTTTATGAAGCTAGATACTGAGAGCACCATTAAATCCTAACAAACAGGCATTGGCTCTCTATCTTTTGTATTTGTTTTGGACAGGAAACATTCAACAGGTCATTTATGACTTTTGCTTCAGGTAACCAAGTAATTTATGTCTGTTTTCCATGGATGCTATCAACCAAGTCAAAATCAAAATAAGACCATCAAAAACATGTATCTCCATTTCCTAAAATTAGGCTATGTCCCTTTCCCCCAACATAATCAAACACTCTATTCATATAGAGTTCCATCATTCAATGATGTTATAGATAACACAAAGTCGAAATTCCTTAATCCAAACAGAAAAAGGATCTTAAAAAATCCCTTGTTGTCCCTGCCCCTCATTGGAAAGATACTTCACATTGAAAATGGTTAAAATTTATACACATTCTTGACAAGTAGCATTTTGTGGTGAAAATTGATAGACAAGAGATGCTACACCATTTTAGGGGTTCTCAGTCCACTGGACAAAACTGATCTACTCTATTGACCTTGATATACTGCAGGAGGTTGTCCTTCACAAAAACAACAACAAAAAAACATTAAATGTTTAGTTTTTGTTTATTCATGGCTTGTGAACCTACATAGAATATAGTTCATTTGTCTCAGAAGCTATAGATGACTTTTTTTTTTTTTTTTTTTTACAATTCTTTCAAATCAAACTCTCAGATGGGATTAATGTAACTTCACTCAAGCATTTTACCTCTGCACACAACATGATCTTTCAACTTTCACACTTCAGCCTCACTTTCACTCATGACCTTTCACCTCTAATCTGTGTCTGAATCAGCCAGATTACCCAGGCAACACCATATATTCATGATATATTGCAAAATGGAACTGAATCTCTCACAGTCTTTATCCAAGAAATATTTGCATTGTATATATCTATCTTCCTTATAAAGGAAGGGTAGGATAAAGTTGTATTGTTTAGCATTTTCACACCGCATCTAAATCCATGCACTATATATTTGATAACTTATATCTTAAGGAAAACACAGGGTTCAAAAACAGGACCCCCTGAATCTTTTAAATAAGTTTCATCAATCTATACACAACAAATGAGAATACCTGATATTCCAGGTCAACAGTGCCATTTTGAATGGAATGTACTTTCTTATAGCAATAAATATGGACAATGATAGCTACAGGTTGTATACTTTACAATAGAATCAGCTTGGTCCGTTGTATCGACCATATAATTACAATCTAGATGATACAACTGGCCCCATTTAAACATGAATGCCTTGAATGTACATTTATATCAAATTTATAACCATTCTTCAACTTTATTGTACTTACTCTGAACCAAATTAAAATACATTTTCAGATTTCAATATTTTCTACCTTGAAAACAAATGAAGTTCTCATTTTCTTTTGAATTGAAAAAAATCCTGGCATCCATTTAATATATCAAAAAACAGAACTTTCAAATGAGCTAGTTATCTCCCCTGGTGACTAAATTCCACACAAAAGCTTTTATAAATGGTGGTATACTCCTCATAATATGATCAACAATACATTTTTTCTGATAACAAGAGCATAATGAGATATTTTGATTTTCTTTGATTTTTGGCATGCACATGAAAATTTAGAAGATGTTTAAAATATTTTTTTTAGCTATCAGCACAACAAAATAAAATAGATTCCAACTGAATGTGATATGTATTGTGTTGTACCTACTACTACTTATGATCCTGAATAGCAATAAAGAAAAAAAAAGATTAGTGATCAGTAAAGCGATTTTTCAAGGGAGATAACTTAATGCAAAATTATATCTTAAGTTGAGATTAAGATATAACTAATTACACTGGTTTTTTTTTTTTTTTCTTCTAAAATTCAATTTTACTAAGTGTCCATATCATAGTACACACTAAAATGTATTTTATTTATGAAAAAAATGATTGAAATTGGAAGATTCAAGTACATAATAATAAAACAGAAAATTGAAAATTCAAGCACTGCAAGGGTAACAATACCTTGCCAAGGGAGGTAATTCTAAGATAAAAAAAAAAAAACATATTGCTGTATTTTCCATATAAAATCGAAAATTACATGAACATATCAAAATGAAAATGAGCCTCATTTTACCTAAATGCAACAAATAATCAGGTGGAAAATTTTGGCAAATAATTTATTTTCCATTCACAATAAAATATTTGTTCTCCATAAAATTCGTTGGAGAAACAAAAACATTCTGTGAATTACTAATTGAACTCTGTATGATTACAAAGTCTGAAAGTATTATGTATAAGGCACAAACAAAAATGAAATTAGAAAAAAAAAATATCTTGATCAGCTTCATGTTTGTAATTAAAGTCAATTCTTATAGTAAAGGGTGATGTTTTTCACCATACAAAATGGGACCCATTCTCAGTGGAGAAACTAGGTTTTAATAAGGGGGGATGTTTTGAGAAATCAGAAGCCAGATAAAAAAAACCCTTTAATATTTTGTAAATTTGTAGGAAATATCAAAAGCCATGACCATGAATACAAGTTGGTGATTACAGGGTAAAAGTGAAGTAAGATTCTCTAACTTATAGAGACCATCTAGAAAGTATGAGAAAACAAATCACAGGTACCAGTAGCATCACTTTTGTAATTGACAAACTGACAATCATTCTCATGAAGGCACAAATTATGCATATTCTCAAATCTATAGGCCACTAGACAGATATATATACATTATTGTATAATAATTCAGGAAAATACATGAGCAGGCATGGACCAAACAAAATTGTGGTAAAAGAAAAACAACAAAAAAATAAGGACATAAATGATATTGGATGATATGATCAAATTGCAATTTGAAGTTTTGGTGAAATGACAGCTAGGTTTGCTGTGACTGGTGCAAACCAACAGCCAATGAAATCACAGCATACTCTATAGTGGCCCTATACATACACATGATATTATTGCTAGTATTGTTTGGCCTAGGAACTCGTGTGATATGTTTGGAGGGGGAAGGGGGGGACATGTAAACCCGTACCAATCCATCAGTTTTGTGACAGTATACCTTTTATCATCTTGTCAACAAACTAATTCACAGTATCAAACTTACAAACAAAACAAATGGGAAGAATTTAATTATTCTACAAATGACTTCATTTTGGGTGAAACTAAGAAAGATTCCAATTAGTACAAAACCATAGCAAATGATATAGCACTTCTGTAAAAAATAATCACTTATGTATCAAACTAGTGTTTCTGTGATAACATGATTGTAGTTTAAAAGCAGTCAAGTTATCTTAAACAGGTAAGAATACAGAGCTTTTATAGTCAACAAAACATTTTTCAGCCAATTCTAATGAATTAGAAAAGATCTGGAGAAGTAAGTTTGTTATGTTTTTGTTTACTTTGTTTAACATTTCATTTTGACCAACTTATAATACTGGTTTCTGTAGCGCATCAAAGATTGCATTAATAGCCAAAAAAATCAACAAATTATCACAAAACTGCTCAATAAATAAAAATTTAGGCTGAAATTTCAGATAAATTCACATGTTTATTCATGTGAGTTGTATTTCTGATAGAGTAATTTTGGGGAAATATCCTCATTTCTCCTGAAAAGTATAAAAAGAAATTCACACAGGATCCATTTATGAGCAATCTAGCAGTGGTGAGTGTACGGAATGGCTTGGTCTTAGTTTCATCTTATAGTTAATCAGCTATAAAAATAAATTATGAGTATCTACTGTGAATCCTTCTCATAAAAAAACAAAACAAAACAAAAACTGCCTTATTGATAGTCCCCTGATAGATGTGAAAAAAGAAAAAAAAAATCTACCGTGGACTTACAAACATATTTTCATCATTTCATACGTATACATCACAACAGGAAAAGAACACTTATGTGTTTCCCACAATGCATCACTACATTTCACATCCTCTTTGTAGAGGAATACCTAAGTTATATAACAGGAGAGAGAAGTATCATATTTCCTCTAGTTTTCATTTGGAGGGGAGAGATGTGGAATGGAAAAGATTTACAAGCACGGAGAAAGTTTCCATCTGTCCATCACAGCTTTTTCTATTTGTAGAAGTAAGACACACAGCACCATATCTGGCTCTGTAACTTATGTGATTCCTGTATGTGTGGAAATGACTGTCTGGTACGATGGCTGATTTTGTGTTTATGTTGATTGCCAAAAGTTTCATAAACACGTACAACATTGTTGTTTGGAATCAGCTGTAGTTTTTTTTCTTTTTCTCTTTAACAAGGATTCTTTCCTTGCCATTCTTGCCTACTGTAAAGTCAGCGAAGTGTAAATTGTATCAGGTTATTAATTGGCTACTGAAGGCAACTTCTGTCAACTACTATAGCAACAGAGAGCTAGTCACTGTCGGAGTTAGTAACAACTGCAAAATTGATAATGTTGATATATCTGGCCCTGAACAAATCATTCTCAGCCTTCTGTGAAAAACAGCAATTGCACAAGTGAACAGTGAAATTAAACAGATGAAGAAATAGAACCAACTTTTCCTGCCTTCCTCCTTAGACTGACCAAAGCCCAGTCAGAAAGGTCAACTGACCAGATCGGTCAATTACAATCTGTATATACACACACTGGCCCAAAGACTCTCGTTTTGGCCTGGGACTGTGACCAGAGCAATTCAATGAAAGACTGGTGACCAATCAACTCAACTGTAGGTATAAACTGGCCGTCTTGTGTTCATGATGTTGACCAAAGAATGACCATCTGGTACTATGTATTGTTATACCACCACCTCCAACAGATAGCCTGACAAACCAGTCCATGTTTATTGTCTATACACATTGGTCAGTTTTTTGGGTCACCACACTGAATGGACATCATTTGGATTTCTTTCTATTTATCTTCTCTCTGTAAGAAAAAAAAGCCTGTGTCAGAATGACTCCAATATTACAGAGTAAACAAATATTAGTTACTGAAAATATTTTCTTTTCAGATAACATTTGAATGACTTTTATCTTAACTTGTTTCCTGATTTAGCGGCCATATTGATTTCTAGACACAGTTTCTAGAACACAAAAATGAGAAATAACTGACCAAAACAAAACAACATATAGAAACGTTTTTCTGAAACTGTCTTGAATCAAAGGTTACAATGATTTTGACTTCTCGAGGTGGGTATTTTTATGTGTAAGATTTCGGTATTTGTATAACGTTAGTATGATACCTACTTTGTACTTGGAACAGTGCCATTGCTTCCTTTTGTGGTTTTCAATGATGTTGACTCTGAAAGTGCAAAAAACTTCAGACTGTAACCACAAAACCTTAACTACATCTCTGTGGATATCATTCCAAGACTTAAGTAAAAAACTTCAGACTGTAACCACAAAACCTTAACTACATCTCTGTGGATATCATTCCAAGACTTAAGCAAAAAACTTCAGACTGTAACCACAAAACCTTAACTACATCTCTGTGGATATCATTCCAAGACTTAAGTAAAAAACTTCAGACTGTAACCACAAAACCTTAACTACATCTCTGTGGATATCATTCCAAGACTTAAGCAAAAAACTTCAGCGTGTAACCACAAAACCTTAACTACATCTCTGTGGATATCATTCCAAGACTTAAGTAAAAAACTTCAGACTGTAACCACAAAACCTTAACTACATCTCTGTGGATATCATTCCAAGACTTAAGCAAAAAACTTCAGACTGTAACCACAAAACCTTAACTTCATCTCTGTGGATATCATTCCAAGACTTAAGCAAAAAACTTCAGACTGTAACCACAAAACCTTAACTACATCTCTGTGGATATCATTCCAAGACTTAAGTAAAAAACTTCAGACTGTAACCACAAAACCTTAACTACATCTCTGTGGATATCATTCCAAGACTTAAGCAAAAAACTTCAGACTGTAACCACAAAACCTTAACTACATCTCTGTGGATATCATTCCAAGACTTAAGTAAAAAACTTCAGACTGTAACCACAAAACCTTAACTACATCTCTGTGGATATCATTCCAAGACTTAAGCAAAAAACTTCAGACTGTAACCACAAAACCTTAACTACATCTCTGTGGATATCATTCCAAGACTTAAGCAAAAAACTTCAGCGTGTAACCACAAAACCTTAACTACATCTCTGTGGATATCATTCCAAGACTTAAGCAAAAAACTTCAGCGTGTAACCACAAAACCTTAACTACATCTCTGTGGATATCATTCCAAGACTTAAGCAAAAAACTTCAGACTGTAACCACAAAACCTTAACTACATCTCTGTGGATATCATTCCAAGACTTAAGCAAAAAACTTCAGCGTGTAACCACAAAACCTTAACTACATCTCTGTGGATATCATTCCAAGACTTAAGTAAAAAACTTCAGACTGTAACCACAAAACCTTAACTACATCTCTGTGGATATCATTCCAAGACTTAAGCAAAAAACTTCAGCGTGTAACCACAAAACCTTAACTACATCTCTGTGGATATCATTCCAAGACTTAAGTAAAAAACTTCAGACTGTAACCACAAAACCTTAACTACATCTCTGTGGATATCATTCCAAGACTTAAGCAAAAAACTTCAGACTGTAACCACAAAACCTTAACTTCATCTCTGTGGATATCATTCCAAGACTTAAGCAAAAAACTTCAGACTGTAACCACAAAACCTTAACTACATCTCTGTGGATATCATTCCAAGACTTAAGCAAAAAACTTCAGACTGTAACCACAAAACCTTAACTACATCTCTGTGGATATCATTCCAAGACTTAAGCAAAAAACTTCAGACTGTAACCACAAAACCTTAACTACATCTCTGTGGATATCATTCCAAGACTTAAGCAAAAAACTTCAGACTGTAACCACAAAACCTTAACTACATCTCTGTGGATATCATTCCAAGACTTAAGTAAAAAACTTCAGACTGTAACCACAAAACCTTAACTACATCTCTGTGGATATCATTCCAAGACTTAAGTAAAAAACTTCAGACTGTAACCACAAAACCTTAACTACATCTCTGTGGATATCATTCCAAGACTTAAGCAAAAAACTTCAGACTGTAACCACAAAACCTTAACTACATCTCTGGATATCATTCCAAGACTTAAGTAAAAAACTTCAGACTGTAACCACAAAACCTTAACTACATCTCTGTGGATATCATTCCAAGACTTAAGCAAAAAACTTCAGCGTGTAACCACAAAACCTTAACTACATCTCTGTGGATATCATTCCAAGACTTAAGTAAAAAACTTCAGACTGTAACCACAAAACCTTAACTACATCTCTGTGGATATCATTCCAAGACTTAAGTAAAAAACTTCAGACTGTAACCACAAAACCTTAACTACATCTCTGTGGATATCATTCCAAGACTTAAGCAAAAAACTTCAGACTGTAACCACAAAACCTTAACTACATCTCTGTGGATATCATTCCAAGACTTAAGCAAAAAACTTCAGACTGTAACCACAAAACCTTAACTACATCTCTGTGGATATCATTCCAAGACTTAAGTAAAAAACTTCAGACTGTAACCACAAAACCTTAACTACATCTCTGTGGATATCATTCCAAGACTTAAGCAAAAAACTTCAGACTGTAACCACAAAACCTTAACTACATCTCTGTGGATATCATTCCAAGACTTAAGTAAAAAACTTCAGACTGTAACCACAAAACCTTAACTACATCTCTGTGGATATCATTCCAAGACTTAAGTAAAAAACTTCAGACTGTAACCACAAAACCTTAACTACATCTCTGTGGATATCATTCCAAGACTTAAGTAAAAAACTTCAGACTGTAACCACAAAACCTTAACTACATCTCTGTGGATATCATTCCAAGACTTAAGTAAAAAACTTCAGACTGTAACCACAAAACCTTAACTACATCTCTGTGGATATCATTCCAAGACTTAAGTAAAAAACTTCAGACTGTAACCACAAAACCTTAACTTCATCTCTGTGGATATCATTCCAAGACTTAAGTAAAAAACTTCAGACTGTAACCACAAAACCTTAACTACATCTCTGTGGATATCATTCCAAGACTTAAGGAAAAAACTTCAGACTGTAACCACAAAACCTTAACTACATCTCTGTGGATATCATTCCAAGACTTAAGTAAAAAACTTCAGACTGTAACCACAAAACCTTAACTACATCTCTGTGGATATCATTCCAAGACTTAAGTAAAAAACTTCAGACTGTAACCACAAAACCTTAACTACATCTCTGTGGATATCATTCCAAGACTTAAGTAAAAAACTTCAGACTGTAACCACAAAACCTTAACTACATCTCTGTGGATATCATTCCAAGACTTAAGTAAAAAACTTCAGACTGTAACCACAAAACCTTAACTATATCTCTGTGGATATCATTCCAAGACTTAAGTAAAAAACTTCAGACTGTAACCACAAAACCTTAACTACATCTCTGTGGATATCATTCCAAGACTTAAGTAAAAAACTTCAGACTGTAACCACAAAACCTTAACTACATCTCTGTGGATATCATTCCAAGACTTAAGTAAAAAACTTCAGACTGTAACCACAAAACCTTAACTACATCTCTGTGGATATCATTCCAAGACTTAAGTAAAAAACTTCAGACTGTAACCACAAAACCTTAACTACATCTCTGTGGATATCATTCCAAGACTTAAGTAAAAAACTTCAGACTGTAACCACAAAACCTTAACTACATCTCTGTGGATATCATTCCAAGACTTAAGTAAAAAACTTCAGACTGTAACCACAAAACCTTAACTACATCTCTGTGGATATCATTCCAAGACTTAAGTAAAAAACTTCAGACTGTAACCACAAAACCTTAACTACATCTCTGTGGATATCATTCCAAGACTTAAGTAAAAAACTTCAGACTGTAACCACAAAACCTTAACTACATCTCTGTGGATATCATTCCAAGACTTAAGTAAAAAACTTCAGACTGTAACCACAAAACCTTAACTACATCTCTGTGGATATCATTCCAAGACTTAAGTAAAAAACTTCAGACTGTAACCACAAAACCTTAACTATATCTCTGTGGATATCATTCCAAGACTTAAGTAAAAAACTTCAGACTGTAACCACAAAACCTTAACTACATCTCTGTGGATATCATTCCAAGACTTAAGTAAAAAACTTCAGACTGTAACCACAAAACCTTAACTACATCTCTGTGGATATCATTCCAAGACTTAAGTAAAAAACTTCAGACTGTAACCACAAAACCTTAACTACATCTCTGTGGATATCATTCCAAGACTTAAGTAAAAAACTTCAGACTGTAACCACAAAACCTTAACTACATCTCTGTGGATATCATTCCAAGACTTAAGTAAAAAACTTCAGACTGTAACCACAAAACCTTAACTACATCTCTGTGGATATCATTCCAAGACTTAAGTAAAAAACTTCAGACTGTAACCACAAAACCTTAACTATATCTCTGTGGATATCATTCCAAGACTTAAGCAAAAAACTTCAGACTGTAACCACAAAACCTTAACTACATCTCTGTGGATATCATTCCAAGACTTAAGTAAAAAACTTCAGACTGTAACCACAAAACCTTAACTACATCTCTGTGGATATCATTCCAAGACTTAAGTAAAAAACTTCAGACTGTAACCACAAAACCTTAACTATATCTCTGTGGATATCATTCCAAGACTTAAGTAAAAAACTTCAGACTGTAACCACAAAACCTTAACTACATCTCTGTGGATATCATTCCAAGACTTAAGTAAAAAACTTCAGACTGTAACCACAAAACCTTAACTAAATCTTCCAAGACTCACAGTGGTTTTCTATCTTATGTGAGATTTATGAAACATATTTAAAAATTTATCAAATTATAGCTTCAACATAAAATTTATGCTATAAAGTAGCACAAAATTCAATACTACTCTTTCAAAGTTCATAATAATGAAAATAACTTTATTCTTCTGAAGAAGATATAAAAATCTAGCTGAGGCGTGATGAGTTGGAATGGCGGTATCATTAATCTGTCACCACAATCTTCAGTCTGTTTACAGTGAGAACTTACCACTACTAGAGACATTTCCAAAAGAGCCCCGCCTCCCAGAGTTGTTGGGGCTGGAGGCTAGGCCTGTCATTGATACCCTACTAAAGACAAAACATAATTATGAACATTAGTCATCAAGGCTCAACAAATTATATACTTTCCATAAAATCAAATATCTGGTAGTAATAGATTGTGTAAAAAAAAAAAATTTCATTTCAGAATTTTGGTAAAGCAACAAAAATCTGTTCCATTTAATGAAGAAAAATTGTACCATTTAATGAAGAAAATGTGTAGCGTCAGCTGTTTCCCCATCGACTTTTACTGAATAGTTTGCAGCTTAGTGAGCTATCTTGCTTATGATACATTCAACTGTCCTTACAATAATATGAATATCCAAATACCAACCTGCTAGTTCCGGCACTCCCGGGGGCCTGCAGTGCTCCTGAACGGGACACAGCTCCCTTGCTTGTACCTGAGCCTGTCTTGCTGCCTGAACCTGTGAAAAAAATTCAATATCATACAGTCATCACCATGGCAACCAACCCTGACCTAGTAAACTTCAAGGTCAGGTACATCCTGGCAACTTGACTCTGATTTTTGAAGTTCAAGGTCATGTATTTTACAAGTTTAGAGATCATATCACCAAAGCAACTAAAACCAAAAACCTGTGAAGGTCAAGGTCAAACAAATACCATTCATTATCTTGACCTTACTGAAGCAAAGGTCACCAGTCCTACCAATGAAAATCTTGATACAGGTAGGACTCTGATAAGAGGTCAACCAAAGTCACAACTAAACCAAGTTCAATCAAACCATTCTCTATCTTTCAAATCTGTAACAGAAACTGTTTACTTGATTAAGTTTATCAATCTAACTTAAAATTATGAAGATCTTTTAATTTACACTCTTCCAAATGGTATCGCTAAATGGTCCTTAATTTATCTCTCACTGAGCTGAACCCAACCACATATGTCTTACCTTCTAAATGGGACATTCCTCAAAATTGAAAGTGATCACCATTTCCCCATTTTCTTTTGATATAATATCGGGTAACTGATCATAGTTTTGTCAAAGACTGAAAATTATTGTAAATAGTTTCTTGCTCTAAGTTTCCAGGGTTTACCCTGTCTGTGCAACTCTCAAATTAGACACACTTATCTCACATGTACATATCAGGAATCCAACTTCTCCTAACCATCGATTGTGAACACATGGATTGTTTGACCCCTAGCAGGAAAGGTAAGACAATATCATTGTATTTACTTTCATGAAAATTTACAAAGATTTAAGATTTTTAGTATTTGAATTAGGTAACAAAAAAGGGAGAAAACTCAAAATAGGAGATGTTTTATAATCAACAATATACTTATAGGAGATTTATCATCTGACTGAAGAAATAGGACAGATCTAATGGATCAAAGAAAAATGTTACAAAACAGATTTATTTTTTTTTATTTATCATAAAAAATAATATTGTATGACAAGACTGAGGAATTCTATGTAGTAAATAACAAATACAAATAAAATATGTTTCCAGCAAGAACTATTGACATAATTAACTTCAGTTTATCCAAGACCAAAAGAAGAAGCTGTGATAACTGATTTGGTCAGAGCGTTGGCCTATGTGTTATCTAAGGTAAAGAGACTGTTAGATGTTCCCCTGACAGTCTATTATTTCTCAGGAATCTGAGAAACAGACTGGTCTGTGCTGACATAGCTGTTTCCTTGGGTAAGACACTTTATCCTTGATGCTCTGGACAGCATACAGTGGACCTCTCCAATGTTGTTCAGAGAGGTAGCTACCAGCTACTACAAGACCCCACCTCAAAATGACCCTATTTAGCTACAAGATCTCTTAAAATTTGGAATTGTGATAAAGTTTCCCCTTTGGTAATTATCATATTTTCCAAAAATAACTGAAACACAATTTATATATTCTTTTTTTAGTACAATATAAGTTGTAAGGAGACTATTTTAAGAACTAATTTTTCTTTGAAAACACATGTACTTCTTTACTTAATATAATTGTGTTTTTTTAATAATAAAATTTCAGTGACTTTTATTTTACAGATTCTATATGTTTCTTGTGATTTCTATACGTTCTTGTATTACATATCTGGTAAGTATTGTAATATATATATGCGACTTTCAGAGAATAATACCATGCATGATAAAAACATCCATTTGTAAATTCTTTTCATGAAATTTTAAAGACAGGTTCTTGCTTGCTTTTGACAATATTCCGTAAATACTGAGAAACAAAGGAAAATTTCTTATGACCAAGGATAAAAGGTATGTAGTTACAACTGATCAAACATCTTGGGGTATCTTTGATTTGAAAAGTACTGGTAACATGTATGTACCACACATTAAAAACATATGCTATTGTGTTCGCATATAATTTGTAGGGATGAGAAAAAGATGATCCAAGAGAATTAAAATTCTTCGTTTTTAACAACTCAATGAAGAAATTCACTTCAATAATGCTTGAAATTTGTCAATGGTAAGTAAGAACCGATCTTTAAACACATTCCTGTACGTATAAACAATCTGAACCAATCTTTAAACACATTCCTGTACGTATAAACAATCTCATCATTAGATCTTATTATATAATGCACTACATTGTCTTTCCATCAAAAAGACATATTCAACCACACATATTTCTATCATCCACACCTCTGTCAACTCTCACACTTCAATATACATTATCAACACTCAAAAATGAAAAGCATGCTTAGAAATCTACTAGAGCAAAAGTAAAACAAATTCTTCTTCACCAGTCTTCTTACACACATATTCATATTCCAAGGATTGATTTAACAACTGCATAATGGATTCATTAATTATTGAAAAAAATACTTAATAAATAAAAATATCCGAGCATCCAAGAGATACAAACTAGCAGATGCTATTGAGTGTATGTATATTTCAATCCAGTTTTCAAAATTCATATCAATTTAATGATAATTCAAATCTTTTAAATTTCTTTTCACTGTTACATGCAACATGCAGCTCTACTATATAACACAAGTCAGCTACACTATAGAAAAATAATAAAACTTTACACATAATTTCAGCAAAATTTCAAATAAAAAACAAAGCTTTAACCATTTAAACTTCAAAAGTAAAGACCAATGGGTTCTGCTTCAAATTCAAGAGTTACAAAGCAAAAAAAAAATGTACATTTCCTTTATTTTTCTTCATTTTTTTCCTTTCTTTATTTTTCGTTTTTGAAATGTTCAATGTTTTATCTTTTTTTCATTTTTTTTTCTGTTATCTAATTAGAAAAAAAAAGACTGAAAAAACCTCCATCCACTGATGGCTTTGGTACCAGAGTATAATGCCTTCCACAAAGTCATGAATTATCTCCCTTGTAATAATTCCATTCCATTCTAGTTAGATGTATTTGTGATGTGAAACATAAACGTAAAATTTTCATCAACTAAATGGAAACAATCAAAGTATTTGAAACATTTTCTGATTTTGTTTCAAACATAATTCTTTATCATCAATGCAATAATTAAGATAAACCATACTACAAAATAATGCATGCTTCGATCATCATGTAAATTTTCACCATAGATGGCAATATAAAAGGTTTGGGAAGAAACAATTCAGAGATACATCAATGATGGCGAAGAAAAAGCACTGTACAGAAGGAGAAATCATACAAATGCACAAAGACCTGATGAACCAGAAGCCAAGGGACAAAAGAGTGTATTCAGGTAGTGCCTAGTTCACCCAGCACTGTAGAAATTGGGAAATGATAGTATAACATCCTACACTTCCAGTCAGCCATGCAAAAAGTCAAGGTGTAAACTCTACATGGTAAAACATCATTTTTAAACGCAAACTCAAAATCTCGGCAGAAGACAAAAAGCTTTATGTATCTGAGAGTAAGAAAATAAAATTCTGATGATCTAGCGAGGAATTTGTGGTACCTCTGGGCTCTGGCTTGTCCCCTTATAGGCCCCGCCTCCCTGAGCCTCTCGGAGCACAAGTCCGGATTGGAGTTGTACATTGGAAGTCTGGACAATTTGGACACCGGTGTCTTCTTTAAACCAGTGCCCCCCGAAGGCTTGGGGGCCAGAGGGGGTTTATACGCTGAACAAACGACAACAGGTCAATAACTAATTAACCATAGGAACGAAAACCACATGACCGCACACATCCATAATGCTGGTGCTTCAAACATCATAATGACATAGATTTACTTCAAATTTAAAAATCAGTCATCAATACGACATCCATGTGACTCAAAACAATTACAACAAAGTTTCAAGAACATGACAGAAAAAATATAGACTATTTGTGAAAAGATTAAATCTTGAAATGATTTTATGCCATTTTCATCTAGTGAAATTCATTTCAAATTAAAAGATTGAAAAAAATTTCAAAATCGTACAACAGTGAATAGATCTTTCCTGTATTTGTAATCTATAACTGAAAAGGAAAGATTTTTAATTAAGACAATGAGAGAGAGAGTAAAATTTGAATATCCATGCCATGCAAATCACCAAACATTACAACACTCACGTGTACGACATCAGTGATACAACTATCAAATCATAGGATATATATTTTTTATCCAACAACTCATATAACTAAATAGTAAGCCCGGTAAAGTTCAAATTGGGAAAGAGAGGTAGAAAAATGTTCAATTCACTGTACCAGAAAAAAATGAAATTAAAGAAAGATTATTCAAGTCAAGAAAATGATTCTGTAGAGGAATTTCATAGTATGTTCCAGTTTTGCAGCAAGATGAATTCTGGGTAAATCATGCAATAGTGTACAAGATCCATCTGAAAACCTTAATATTGAACAACTAAGAAACAAGATTCACAAGACGATCACAAAACAACAGTCTACTGTGGCAGGAGTGACTGATAGAGTTATCTGTCCCTAGTACTGTGATTTCTTAGATAGATGGCCAGTGAAGGCGATCACATGACTGTCAGTAAACCGTGGAAGGCGGTCAGTTTGAAGTCAACATGCACTGAAACACCTTTCAAAACACAATGCATTAATGTGAGGCAGTGAATGCGGGGAGTATGACCCCTCACCTCGACCAACTGGGGACTTGCTCTGAGAGGAATGTAGATTTGGCTGGGAGCTGTACAAGGGGAGACGACTCAGCCGGGGCAGGGCCTTGTTAGGCAAAGACTTAGAAACTGTAGCATCTTTCTTCCCTGTACAAAGGAAAGAAAGGCAGATGACAACAGCAGACATTGTACCTGTACTGTCCAGTGTTTTCCAGAAATCATAGAATGAAAAGGCTCCATATTTAAACAGTGAAAAATATTTCATACACCATGACATGAGAAAATACTTGTAGCAAAAATAACTTAAAAAATCTGTTATTCTTTCTCCATCACTGAAAAAGATAGCTTCATAGTGAGGCCATATTTCATAAACATCCAAAAACAATTAAATTTTAAAGCTTCACAATAAATTTAAGATATTGCATTATAACTCTCAGCAACTTAGAAAAAGTGTGTATGTATATATATTTCAAACAGACTTCCTATCTGTTGCTTCCAAACTTTATCTCATCCCCCCTCTTCTTTTCTACTTAAGCAATGAAGCAGTTCATCATCTTTGGATGATTATGAATACAATGCCCCATATACAATTAACAGAAAACCGGAAAATATTTATAGTACAAGGAAAAAAAAAGATGGTGAACATTTAGTTACAACAAAAAGTGGAAAACTCTTGTATTCCAACAAATATACCATTCTTTCCTCACAATATTTAAACATTTCAACTTTATCATCCCCAGTCATTATTATATACACCCAGGACCTCCATGCAGACAAACATGCATGACACAAAGATCTGACCTGAGTCATTGTTAGGCAGAGTCTTGACTTTGGCTGCTGGTATTTTGCTTCTTATAGGTTTGGGTGAGTCTGGTTTTCCTATATTTTCTAAACAAAATACACAAAAAATTGCAGATTGTGTGTAAAATTCAATAAATCAAATTTAAAGATTCAGAAGTGTGATTTACAGAAAAGTAAATGAAATAACACAAATATGCAGTTTGAAGCTTTAAATAAAAGAAATGTAAAATAGATGTTAAAAATCATGTATTAATACATATTGGACAACAAATATGCAACTGAACTTTATCTTTAAATCACAATGTTATCAAAATGTTTCTTCCTAATTCTCATTTATTTTATTCTTTCATTCTGCAATAAGCCCTGACTTAAATTATATATTCTTAATCACAGTCCAGGGGTGGGCTTATCACATAACAATGATAAAGTGGATTGATTTTTAGCTTTTCTGAACAAAATATGGGTGGGCTTATTACATGACATGGGCTTACTGCTGGATAAATACAGTAGTCTATGTAAAATGATTTTGTTACATTAAATATCAGTCTGTATGGAAATACTGTGCTAAGGATTGGAAAATATTAAAAAAGTAACAAAGACTGAGAGATATGCATACATCATCTCATGATTTCTTTAATGATTTACAAAAATAATTTTGGATATGTTAGCAATTGACAGAAACTGTGTTTAAGAATGAATTTTGTATCAATCATTAAGAGTTAACAATCAAAGACTTACAATTGTAGTTAAGGCTGTATGCCATCTTTCAAAATTTAAAATTTGTCATCAATATCTGTGTACTATTCAAATGATTCATCAATCAATCAATAAACAATTTAAATATTAAGAGTAAAATCGTTTGGGGAGGGAGATTAATGTAACAGTTTAAAATGGAGATAATATACCTCTTTAACATAAATAGCATGACAAAACTTATTTCATAGAAACATACAGGACATATTGTAATAGTACTATACAATCTTACATTGTTGAAACAATTTACATATTACAGACTACTTCTTGTTTACCATTTTAATCAAACATACACATACAAAATCTGCTAAATATTGATCATTCTTACAATCACAGTTCTAAGATAAAGGAGATAAAAGATGGCTGAAAATCTGTCTGAAGACATGAACTTAATCCAATCATACATCATCATTACAAACTAGATATCTAAAACGCCTCAAACTTCAGAAAAGATACCTTTTTATTGGTATCAGGTGTATTTATAACAAAATTTCATTATTCTTGAAAACAAAAATGATTTTTGACAATATTGACAGCCATGCTTAACACATAAAGTTTAAGCTATTCAATGTAAGCTGGCCTGTATAAAACAACCATGCCAAAAAATACAATGAACCCACATACAACAATCATGCATGCTGAAGCTGCATCTCCGTGTTTAAGCCAAAGAAACAAGTAAAAAACCCACCAGTTTACAATTGGTACAAGGCACAAACTGGGCGATAGTTCACCAATAGTAACAAAGATGTAAAACTAACATCTATATCTACTGTTACTGTCATTACACAGAACTCTGATGTCCAGATTTAATTATTTTTGAGATCTTGAAAATATACACATAATGCTATATAAATATTTGACTCTAAAATAATTTTCGTGCTAACAATATTTGGTGTTGATTATATGGTTTCATACATCTTATGTTCCAAGGTCATAACTACACCTGTTTACGATGTAAATTTTTTTTTTACCCTATTCCCAATTTTGTCCATAGATTTCTTAACTAATTACATCTAAAAAAAATCCTAATTATATTAATGAAATATCTTATTACCTGACGTAGAAAAAGATATATAAAAAAAGTCAGCAAACTTGTCCTTTAACTTAGGTATAAGAGATTCGGTCCTTTCAACTTATTCACATTATTACCACTGGGTTTTTTGTTTGTTATACATAAAATATATAAAGTAATACTTTATACAATTATAATATCAAGATAGATGAACATTTCAACAACAATCCAGGTTGTTTACACACACATACTTTATTATAGGTAAACAACACTTACATGCAGCATCACAGACAGGGGAGCTAATTCTTTCATCCATGCACAATTTAAAGTGTTTTTCATCCCCATGGTCATGTCCACAACATAAATGATGCTCCTCCAATCATTTTTTTAAGTAATAAATAATATTGTAATGTTTATCTTTAAATTGTGATCTTTATATTCTGTCAATAAGTTCATAATGATAAGGTCAAGAATTTCATTTTTTTTTATGTTCAACATTCAGATTTTAAAGCTTGTATACAGAAATAAGACGTTGTCACTATTGTGACACAAATACGATTATTATTATCTCATTTTCAGTATCATAGAAGGTATATTATTTTGTAGATGGTTTCACACACAATTTATTTTTCAAAAAAATCTTCACTCAAAATGTATTTGCATGGACAATTCAGTTCACATTTTCAATCATCATATTACTTTTTACATCATATCTAAAATAACACTTTCCCTGATACTAACTTTGATAAAAACACAGGAAACAAATCAGTATCATGATAAAATTCCGACAAACTTAAGTGAAGTACCATCAATATAATTAGCTATATAAAGTAATCCTTATTGATTTTTATCTACCATGGTATGTAAATGACCAATCTTGAATGTCACACCAACACACAATTACATGGCAATAGCATCCAAACAATGACAGATTTTTCTCAGAAGAATCCTTTTTTTCCAATTTGTCAAAAAAACTTATTTTTTTGGTAATCTGGTTAGCTGTGCTCAGATTAAACCAAGCCAAATAAAACATTACATCTGAACTTATTTGTCAATGATTTCTTTTGTCAAGTTACAGTTTAGTGTCAAACCAAAGTTTGTTTCACACTTTAAAATGATAATGTTGACGGACCATTGGTGATTAGTTAATTGTTAGATGTTCTGCTATGACTATACGCCTGATTACATATCACTGGTTTAGTATTATAGACAGGTTAGCACTGATACACCGTGGGATCATACAGGGGAGACAACTTATACAGGGGAGACACTTGAACTTATCTTATCATCATATAACCCAAAACATTTTATTTGGCTTCAAAAAATATGAATTAATCACAAATCAGTATTGGTGAGTAGAATATAAGTTCTTATAACACAACCAGTAGAAGATTAGAGTGTGATATTTTGATGACTACACGTTCATCTTCATTTTATAACACAACCAGTAAAAGATTAGAGTGTGACGTTTTAATGACATGGTCACCTTCGTCAGACAAATGATCAGTGTGGAGCGTACTAGCAGTGACGTATGCAGTGTATGAGATGGTACGGAACCAGCCAACTTTTTTTACCTTAGTACACATACGATTATAGTGCAGCCGAAAAAAGGTTGGTCGATTCCTTACCATCTCGTACACTAAGTATGTCAGTGTTGGTACGCTCCACACTGATCATTTGTCTGATGAAGGTGACTGTGTAGATCTCGTACACTACATACGTCAGTGCTGGTACGCTCCACACTGATCATTTGTCTGATGAAGGTGACTGTGTAGATCTCGTACACTACATACGTCAGTGCTGGTACGCTCCACACTGATCATTTGTCTGATGAAGGTGACTGTGTAGATCTCGTACACTAAGTATGTCAGTGTAGGTACGCTCCACACTGATCATTTGTCTGATGAAGACGACTCGTTTAGTCATTGAAACGTCACACTCTAATCTTCTACTGACTGTGTTATAAGTACTTCTATTCTACTGACATTACCAACCTGAAGAAAATGTTCCAAAATACAGAATTGCTGAGAATACTGCAGAAAAATAATGAAATGTCACGAGGTTGTAGGAAATTTGATGATAACTCCATTATATATACCAGGAGACAGTTTTTATTTTCTGATCACGTTCACAAAGTAAATGGCTCTCATCTGACAAGATACTCAAAAATAATTTCAAACGTGGAGAGAAGTACAGACTTAAACACTGACTGAATAAACCTGCATATATTGAACAAATTATTTAATCCACTTCCTACAAGGCAGTCAGTTGTTTGAAAGTCAGAAACAACAAAGTTCAAATTTGATAAAAAAACCACGAATATTTTGCATAAAATAATTTCCATGAAGAGTAAAATTTTCTCACTAAGACAAATATAAAATTTTGTCATCAACACTTTGTGAAAATGATACAGCAGGTAAGATACTAAAATTGTGTCTGTGTGAGATACACTTGTCACTGGTGCTAGGATGTTGAGCATGTGTGCTCATCTTCCACCATACAGAGCCATGCAGAGCTGGTCAAGGACCTCCATACCAGAAACACAACACTTAATTCTAGGTATATACACTAAAGGACAGGTATAAAATCCTTGTCAAGGACAAGTACGTGCATTTCTGTTTACCTGAAATGGTCTTACCTCGGCGCGGTATCTGAGATAAACTGTTGGCCGACTTTGATTTCGCTATGCTATTTTTTCCAAATCTGTTCTGGGCATCTTAATTAGACAAAATTAGGACAAATGGAAATGAGATGTTATTTCAAAGTTTTACAGTCATGATGAGAATGGTGACAGTTCACACAAAAACAATTACATACACACATATATTTATATCCTACATATATATATATACAAACTATAACACTGCAGTTTCTTACACCTAATCTTAGTCATCTGCTAAAATTTTTATTCTTAAACAGACAAAACTGAACCTTAAACATTTTTTTTATCAGTTCTCTCTTTTTAATTTGTTGGTTTCCTTGTTTATTTTTTCCTGAAAACAAACTTTTCATTATTATTAAAGTGACATTGTTTCTACTTCTGTGTTGATTTCATTGACACAAACATTTTTTTAATTATGTCTATTTCAATGACATGAATGTTTTATGAGCATTTTCCACAAGTTTATTTCAAAGGTCAAGTTTCAGTTTTGCCATGGACATGTCTGACAAGTAATAGATAGAAAAACAAAGACACAATTGACAAGTCACAAGTAAATTCACATCACACTGAAACAATATATGAAGGGAGATAACTCCGATAATATTGGTATACTGTGTTCCACTTGAGTGAAGTTAGTAGCAATATTACACCTGACTAATTACTAGTTATTGTTTACATGCTTTGAATTAAATATTTTTAGTTTTACCAATTAATATGACTCAGAATACTATTAAATTGTGACATGTTGGTAATTATGATTGTTTACAAAAGAAAATTTTCACACAGGCAGAATTGTTTATTTGACACAGAATTTGTTTACTTCAGGCAAATATTATTTATAATTTCTTTGTAAGTCACCTGTCATGCCTGACTTACCAGGACCCTGACAAGATGGAATTAATAAGACTGGTAGATTACATGCGAGGTAAGTTTGACCAATGGTCAGTTCTAAGTCTAGAATGAGAAGCTTGACTAATTACTGTGGTATACGGTCAAAGGAAGAAGCAGAGCGGTCAGTATTTCCCTAGACTGGTCAACTAATGACCAATCCCTACAACATTGATGACCGTTCCATTGAATGGTTAACAATACTGATCCAAATTTTCTAAATCACTGGTCAGCAATATTATAAGACTGATTTCTAGGGATGGCCAAAAAAGCTGATGACCAAATCCCAAGATTGGCAGCAAAAGAATTAAGTAAGAGAAAATGAATATTCAGGCAAAACAGGAAGTTGAAAATACAAGGGCTAAGCTACCCATCATGTACCAGTGTACAAATATCAACAAAATTCACTTCAACATAATTTCATGAATTTGATGACATTTGGAAACTTTTTTTTTCAAATTTAAATTTAATTACACCAGAAAAAGAATTTGAAGAATGAATTTCAAAATTTTAACCAACTTAACATGCAAAGAGAAAAATTTGCAAAAAGTCAATAACATCTAGTTCAAAGAAATCTAAATCTGAAACTCTGTAAAATGAAATGAATATTTCGTCATTGTGAAACCAAACCGTGCATCTTCACACAGTGTCACGGCCTTAACAGCACACATCCATGATCACTGGTTCAATATTCTTAAATTGTCTATATACATAACTCAACAGGCCATGGCAAAACTCTCTTTTAGGTTTTTACTTTGATAAAAAAAAATCAAAGGATTAAAAAAGCAAGTTTCATAAAAAAAAAAATGTCAGAAATAAGGAAGCGAATAAATCTCTAATTTAAACTTTTCAACCAAGACCAAATTTTAAAATGTTATGAAAAAGTGTTAAAAATTTCATATACCGGTGGTTTTTTTTTCATTTTCTTTTTTAAAATTGCCCAAAAAACGTAAAATGAATTTGTCTTGGCCTTTTCCATGACATTTCATTCCTGCTATAATTTTTTCTAATCTGATGTTCAGTACTGGTAGACACCTAGATTTAGTCTATGGATATGATATATACTTCAGTATTCTGTCAGTAAAATGAGTAAGGAGTATGATACATGAAATAGGTAAGCAAAGATGGCCGCTTTCAACAGCTGTGAAGCAAAAAATGTGATTGCGAAATTATTTACCTTCAGCTTGCAAATATGGTGGATAAATAAACTTAAAACTGGTGAGATCTGTGAAAATAGCATCACAATGTTTCAGAAGAATATTACTGGAAATATCCTAGATAGATATATCCGAGGTGATGATACATATGAAAGTTATGAATAAGAAAACAGACACATTTTCAAATTTGACTTACACTTTTGTAATTTTTGCTCGCCCAATTAATTTTTTTTCTTTTTTATGATAGTGCAGGCATCCATCTTTACACACCTCGAGTACAGACAGACAGTACGTAGTACCTTCCACCCACAGACTGTAGTGGCCACGCACACACCTTAACGCAGGGTGAAAGCGGACTTAGGGCAAAGCAGCATATATATAACACAGGACAACAATGGGAACACATCACAGGTCAGAAACACAGACTGGCACAGAAAAACACATCCTGGGTAGTAGGATTTTAATTTGTTTTTGTCATATTTGGGACAAGATCTAGAAAAGTAGATATCTAAGTTTTTGAAGGATTTATTGTGGATATACAAAATATTAGGGAAGAGTATGTGAAGCCATATCTGGGAGTTGGTTACAGGTAAAAACGTGTTTGGGGAAGGTTAAAGGGAGACAACTGAGGGATCGGTTCAGAAAAAAACCACTAGCACAGAGGAATACTGGGTATAGGGAAGACATGTCCATTGTAAAAATTTCACTGTACAAAGAGGTAATTAACAGATTGTGATTACTCTAGAAAATGACTACAAGAACACAAAACCATATTTTTTGATCACAAACCTATTTATCTACTATGATAAAAATCTCCTGAGAAATCAATTTCCTGTTGATGGTGGTAGTGAAAGGGAGGGGAGGAGAATGGCAGGACAATCCAAGCAGAAAATGGGGTCAAAACAATCTATAAATATTGGAACACTGATGGAACAGGTGAAATTAACACAACAGCAGGATTATTAGACTGAGCTGTATCAGGTGATGTACGTCTGAAATGTGATAAATATTAGTATCAAACCACTAAATGATTGCTGATACATTTTCTACTGACAAAGTTTGGGTTTAAGACTCATTACAAGTCCCTCTGTAGAGATCTACTAGGACTCCATTTTGGGTGGAGCCCCCTCCCTCAAATCAATTCGGAGTCAGCCAGACACCCTTCCCCCCACACCTCCCCTCCTTGTCTGACCCCACTCGGAGCCAATCCAAACAATTTACCCTGTTATCCTTCCGCGCTAGAAACCCACCCAGAGCCTTCTGTTAGATGTATCCTGTCACACTGTCAGTTTTCAGGTAACTGTCTGAACTTACCTTTAGTAGAGGAAGTATTCGGTGATGTTGTCCCTGGGGCAGCTAAATTTTTTGTACCTGGAAGTTTGGATATTGAAACATTAAAGTATATACAAAATTTATCCATAGACATTTTGATGATAATTTCCTTCCTAAATATGTTTTCCTTCAGATTAGTTTGAAATTTATAACAAAATAAAACAGGTTCCAGGGAGACAATAACATAATAAACATATAAACTGTCTGATTCTGACCCTCAGCTCGACAGAGTTACCTACCTTTTCTTGGACCGGGAATTTTACTTCCGTTATCCCCTTTTTTGGCAGCAGCAGATGTTGCAGAATTGCGTTTTTCTCCTTTCTTTTTCTCTGCTGCTTCTTCTTCCCTTTTCTGTTCTTTCTCTTCCTGTAGATCAATAAATAATTTGTATAAAAGCAGAAAGTTCTCTTGAAATCAGAACTTAGGGAAATTAATTTTTCTCCTTCAGTATCTAAATTATGTCATTTTAACACTGGCATTAGACTGATGAAAGTTACTTCAATAGAACAGTAGGGACTCTCGAGTTATGATGTGGGAGTCCATTTCAGAGAGTTGGCCTAACTCTGGCAATGTACAGGAGGGACTGAGCCATGTCTCACCAGAAGCAGGGATAACACTGGCCATCCCCTCGTGTCTACTGAACACTGAAAACAATGGTGAAAATGTCTGTAAAACATCTCAACCTGTCACAGACATATACACACACGCAGCAAAACACTTCTATCCAGTTTTTACTTTTTCATATTGAATAGAATGATTACAATAACACGTTTTTTTTGTAAATATGATAAATAAATATAAGCAAATCAATTTTGTTAATATTGTAAATAAGGATTGGTAATTTCTATTCTGGAAATTAATTTTGTTGTTTTGTTCGAAGTTCTGTAGAAGATAAGAACTTAGCAAAAAGTAAATATAATTTTTTAGTATTTAAAAAGAAATAAATAAAAAAACAGTTGAATTTTCCATAAATATTAAAAGTGATCAAGACAATCTCTTACTTTTCCTTTTTTTACCAAATGCTGAAAATATGAAGTGTTGGGTCAATGTCTCAGCTGTGGTCCAGTTTAGAAGTTTGGTAGACATACAAAACTTCAGGTTTAGATATAAATATACTTATTATATACCAATCACCATTAAATGACTAAACAAGGGAGATAATCATGCTGCTTTATACCATCACCTTCTGTTGGACTAAAAGAGTATTAACCTTCATTTGACTAAAGAAAATCGAGACTTTTAATTGACTAAAGTCAGTATAATCATGTTATATCCCTGATTGATTCTGATTGATTAGAGAGTATGAAACTCTTCAATTGACCAAAAGGAATGAAGACTTTCATTTGACTAATATTGGAATTTAGGTTCCCGTCACCATTCACCTGCCTATGGGAAATTTTAATTCTGTGTGACTAAAGGGAAGTATACTATATTGACTAATGTTAAGGAGTTCAAACTTCTGTGGGTTTTTTAAACTTCTGGGACTAAAGACTTTCTTGTGACTGAGGTGTTGAAAATGAGGCTAAATTTTGATTGATTTAAGGCCGAAAATTTGAATGATTTAATTACAATTTTCCATTGACAGAGTGGAGAAACATATTTTCTGCCTGAACACTGAACAGTTTACTGAAGGAATTGTTAACTTACTAATTCTATCAGTAGTTTTTCCTCGTCCTCTTTTTTCTGGTCCACTAAGTCTTGTTCAAACAGCATCCTTCGAGATAGCTGCAAACATTTTAAATCCATTAACGGTGTGACTAGTTTATCCAGCATTCATCCATAAAAACAAACAATTTTTGAGAGACAAATGTACAAAAAAATATCTTGTACTCCAAACAGTTTTACTAAGAGACAGATAGATTACAGACCCTGGTAATTACAGAGACTGGAGTTTTACTTCTGTACCGTACAGGTTCTGAGAGAGAGAAATCCAATTGTATCCTACTACAAGAAAAAACAAACCACCAACGTTGGGCAGCTGTATAATCAGGATTCTTCTTCACATTAAGGATCGCTGAAGGAACTAAAATCAATCAAATCTGTCCACTACAATATATCTTACCCTAGTTTTACCTTCCCATTCCGTCTACTAATCTTTTTGATAATATTTCCTCAACATATGTTTTCATATAACTTTGTTTGACCTTAGCTATATCATAATGTGTAACCTTGACCTTTTTGACCAGCAGGCTATAAAGACGTCAGCCTTTATACAAACCATTCATTACAAACTTATATTTTCTGAGAACAATATAGTAGATTATGGTAAGAGAATAATATTAGCAGGTACGATAAAAGTGGAAATTTTCATGCTTTGGGTGTCGAGGAGTGTGGGTTGGTTGGTGTAACAGGTATGAAATATATTCGACCATATACAGTGCATTTGGAAGAAAATTGTCACTTTCAGCATGAAAATTTCCACAGAGCAAATATTTGAAAATTCAAAGATGAAAATTTGAACTCTGATTACCATAAATGGATGGGAAATCTACAGCTATAATTATAACAGAAAAGTAAATTTGTTATCTAGCTACAATTGAAGGGTAAGTCTATTTCTGACTAACTAGAAAGGATGGGTAAATCTATTTCTGACTAACTAGAAAGGATGGTTAAATCTATTTCTGACTAACTAGAAAGGATGGGTAAATCTATTTCTGACTAACTAGAAAGGATGGGTAAATATCAAGAAATTTTGTCAGTTTATGTTCAGGGCCATGACAAAATTGACTTACCGATTCCATTTGAACATGAATTTTATCTAATTCTTCAACAGCCTGAAAAAAAATAAGGCAAAAAAATAATTCAGAAGATTTGTACAAAAATACCAAGACGATGTATATATTTAATATCCCCCCCTCCCCCCTCTCATTATTTCTACATTCTACATTTTTTGTAAGAAACTTTTCATCATCAAAATAAATAATCAATCATCATCATGTATACATGTATTTTATAAAGTATTTCATGAAGCAATGAAACAAGTGCTGATACTGAACAGATACTCGATCATTTGATCATTAAGTAAAAAACACCGATATATGGTATGAAAACAAAACGGTGCTTATTCGTTAAAGCCATTACCACTTTGATTGCATTCTGAACATCTTTGTCCTTCTCCGCGACCAGCAACTTCCTGACACACAGGTCCAGCTGCTGAAGCAGGTTCCGGTCTGTCGGAAGTTTGATGAGTTTCTTCAGTGGTGGAAGTAATGAACACAATCGTAATCGAATATTAGGCACTGGATCCTTGTGCAGTTCTAACACAACTTCATAAAAATATTTCTTAAAAAATGTCTTAGAATATAGCTCTATCACAAATTTACAAATGTCTATGAACAAACTTCTTTGATGGCAGCTCCTCCCATGGCAGAACTCTGTAACAAAGGGCAGATAACTAAGTGGTGCAATAAATAGGAGAAAAATCATTATAAATACATTCACTGATTCTTAAATCATTTTGTTTATGAAAAATAAAAAGAATAAATTCTTGATCCATTTTTTTTTTAAATTCACTCATTGCTATGTTCAAGCTTCCTTTCAGGCATCCTTCTATCCCATAACTACATAATGCATTTTAATTAGATGATAATATCTCACCTGTTACAAGGCGATTAACAAGTTCCTCCCTCTGTTCTAGTTTCTTGAGCGTCCTGATGATGATAAGCGATGACCTCGCACATGCATGTCGTACAGGTAACGCTCGCTATTGGAAGAACATCAAACAATAAACAAACATTTGATTCTGCATCATTGATTCTTAAAATCTTAAAAAAATTTGGATAAAGAGTTTAATGTGTAATTTAAGATCTGAAAATTTTCATATATAACTTTCACAAAGGTTAAAAAATGTTACTATAGGAACAGCTCTCTGTCTCCCTCCAAGATATTTTAGAAGAGTTTTTAAAGTCTTGTTTTCCAAGTTTGATGATTCTCTGTATCTGACAAAGAGACCTCAAGGACATATGTTTGCATCAGTCTTTGACAACAGACCTTTATTCAAACAACCTTGGGTAGGGAAATTAATTCTACTACGCGAAAAGATGTCTACATGATTCTGAAGCTAAAAATAGGTTTCCCTGTCAACAGGGTGTTATTTTGTCTTTTCTTTTGAAACTTTAGGCAGAAAAAAGTTGAGAATTTCTACTGACCGCAGTTTTGAGTTTATTGAAGAGCACGGGTATAACTTTGGTGTATAGAACCTCGTTGGAGCAACATCGGGTCAAGCTGGCCAAACTTGTCATTAACTCCTCCTGTAATCTCCAGTTATTAAAACTCGATACCACCTCATCTGACGCCAAGATGGCTGGAATTACCTCCCCTAAACTGTTCATCTGAAACAGAAATAACCAAATATTCATCAGAACCAATTCAGCATGAGAGAATTTTTGCATTTTTCCTTTTGCAATCTTTCATTCTTTCTTTTATTCTATGTTTATTTCTCATTGATAAGGAAAACAAGCTTTCACTCGAAACATTTTGATGTCTGTCACAATCCAATACAGTAGTAAGGTCTTCAGAAATTCTTAATTTTTTGGACAAAAACTAGGTTTGACATAAAAAAATATAGCTTCAAATTAACCTCTGACCCTTGTGACCTTCACCATCAGATCTTGATGACATGACATCTAGACAGGATCTGTATTATCTATATCTAGTACGAGTTCAGATGTTTACTACGACCTTGACATTTAGGGAACAAATTTAAGTTTTTCAAACTAATTAATTCTTTTTTCTCAAATCAACTTTCAAGTTTTTAAAATAAAGTTCAATATCGATTATGCTTAATGGCCGGCCTGAAAGAATGCAGTCATTATGTGAGGAATCCAGACAAACGAGCAAAAATCCATAGGATGAGGTGACTTTACACCTTTTCATCTCTGATTTGGGAAATCCAACTCCAACCATCTTTGTAAAAGGAGAGCATGCTCTCCATTATGCCACCTTCTAAATCAAGTTTTCAGGCATTCGTAAACCAGTAAAAACATGTTAGAGATACATAGATTTCACAATAAAACTACAGACATACAGTAAGGTGCTGAAGTCCAAAGCTATTCAAATGTAATGGATGTCTGTAAGACTATATTCAACAAATGGCATTCTGTCCTCAATGACACTGTGGAAAGTGTGAGTACAGAACAATCAATCTTCAACCCCTCATTGGTCTGATTCACACAAACGACAAAGAAGCGTGAATATCTATAAATAATTCACAGACCACCATCATCCCGTTCCTTCTTCAAAGACGTGTCCCATCACAGATTTTCTCACTGCTCAAAGCTTGTCTAGCTTAAGAGTGCTTGATTAAATTTTCACTTTAAAAGTTTGCCATAAATGTGCTGTTTTTCTGTTTTTCTTTTCAATCACTTTGTATCTCAATGGAGGTGTAAATACAAACAAATGAAGAAAAAGAGAAAAAAAGCAGCAAACAAACTCAAAACCATTGACAAATTGTTTATACAAGTAATCACTTGGGGAGAACAAATTTAAAAGTGATAAAACTAGTTTGAGAAAGTAAATCAGACATTGGAATTTTTTGGCTGATAGCTTTATTCCTATTTCATTCATTAGTCTGATCGTGTCCCATCTAAACTTTCTATCTTCATTAAGGGTAACTGATTACATGCCTTGCGTAATACAATCCTTCTCACAACAATGTGATGATATTGATTAAGTTGTACTGCGTGACTAATGTAGTGGGCCTCAACCATCCTAGTAAAACAGACATGTAGTGTTGGTCCTCTCAGCTGTGTTGATGCTGTCAGCAACAGTGGGGGCTGGGGGTGGGGGTAGTGTTGGTCCTCTTAGCTGTGTTGATGCTGTCAGCATAGTGGGGGCTGGGGGTGGATGTAGTGTTGGTCCTCTTAGCTGTGTTGATGTTGTCAGCAACAGTGGTGGGGGTGGGGGGTGTTGGTAGTGTTGGTCCTCTCAGCTGTGTTGATGCTGTCAGCAACAGTGGGGGCTGGGGGTGGGGGTAGTGTTGGTCCTCTCAGCTGTGTTGATGCTGTCAGCAACAGTGGGGGCTGGGGGTGGGGGTAGTGTTGGTCCTCTTAGCTGTGTTGATGCTGTCAGCAACAGTGGGGGCTGGAGTGGGGGTAGTGTTGGTCCTCGCAGCTGTGTTGATGCTGTCAGCAACAGTGGGGGCTGGGGGTGGGGGTAGTGTTGGTCCTCTCAGCTGTGTTGATGCCTCAGCAGCTGTGTTTGATGCTGTCAGCAACAGTGGGGGCTGGAGTGTTGGGGTCTCAGTGTTGGTCCTCTTAGCTGTGTTGATGCTGTCAGCAACAGTGGGGGCTGGAGTGGGGGTAGTGTTGGTCCTCGCAGCTGTGTTGACGCTGTCAGCAACAGTGGGGGCTGGAGTGGGGGTAGTGTTGGTCCTCGCAGCTGTGTTGACGCTGTCAGCAACAGTGGGGGATGGGGTGTGACTGGGGGTAGGGGTGGATTGGGAGGTGGAATGGGAGATGGGGTTGCAAGTTGGAGGGGGTACTGGAGGAGGGGTTGGAATGGGGTAGCCAAGTGGAGGGTGAGTAGATGGGGTGAAGGACCAGATGGTAGGGAGGAACCAAACAATAGAGGAAGGAAATTTGGAGCAAGTCAGGGAGTGAGGACAAGAAATTTTTTTAAATCCACACAAGGTGACACGGAAAAAATATCCCCCTAGCATTTGCAAAAAAAATGGAGGTAAGATAAAAAGACGCAGAGTCTATTGTATATATCATTAAATACACTGTACATGTTGGTACTGTTTACCATCAGTAGACACAGAACGATTATACACACCTTAGCTTCTGACAGTGTGTGATTGCTTGAGGATGAACCAAGGAACGAATCCAAAATATCAACAATGTTTGTCAAAATACCACGCAACACCTGAAACATATAAAAAGATTTCAAATACCATAGAAAAGTTTAAAGGGTTAAGTGTTAACATACAGACAACCAATCAGAACACTGTTCCCACAGTCACATGACACATCATATCTTGCTGATTGGCTGATTATGAACTTCAAGACAACTCTGTGCCATCTTTGCCATCTAACCCTAGATTTTTATCATAAATGAAATGTTATTTTGTGAAAGTCTATTTTTTTCATGATTAATTTCATTTAAAGTTGTCTAAATTCCTGTAATGTACTTAAACAACTAATGTCTCTTTTGGAAGGCAAAATTCTCAGGGACTATGGGTTCCAAAAACCACCAAGCTTAGCTGTAAATAACAAACAGATCATAATGCCAAACGCAGTCGAATATTTGTGTAAACTTGAGACATCAGAGTTTTAATCTCTCTCCAGCCACACTTATTTGTGTTAACTGAATGATGTTTACAGTTTAAAGATTCCTAATGACCAAGTTATACTTACATCTATAGAATCGTCTTTGAGCAAGTTGATGAGATCTGGTTGTAATATATGTACTTGTGACCCTAACAACTTGGTGACCTGAAATCCAAACGAAACAAACATTATCATCTCCTCAAAAAGTTCCTTAAACTGACTTACTCTGCATCAGGTTGATCTGTCAAATGGGACTCCATTAAAAACATTCATTTTATTGTACAATAATTCCATCGCTGAAAGTTTTTTAAGTAAACAGACCTAATTGTAAGCTAAGCAACCTAAATTTATATCTTTATCTAAAACCTTGGCCTTAAAATGTTGTATCTTCATCTTTTGTTGGATTTCTGTTCAAATTCAAAAAAAAAAAAAAAAAAAAGGATATTTTACTATTTTGGCATTTAAGCTTCGTACCATTAACTATTATATAATCTACAAATCTATAAGAAACTTGTGCGAGACAAACTTAAATTTTTCCTGTGACTGGAGTTGTTACATTCAACAATAAACAGTATATTTACCTCGTGGAAACCAGAAGCCACAGTCTTCCTGACCTGGCTGTTAGGGTCTTTACAGAGACTAGAAAAAATGCCCAGCAAGTCGACCTTGAAGTGCTTGGGTCCGACAAAAACAAACATCGCCTGTCCAAAAATATCAACAAGATCAGATTTCTTGTCAAAACATGACAAGGATAAAATCATGTAACACATACATAACAGCTTTCTTCTAGACATAGGACTTCACTTGAAATTGCTCTGTTGAAAACGAAATTTACCCCAGGTCATTGAATCAAATAACATAGGTCATAATAAGGGGGTTATTGTATAGAAGGAGCAATCTACTTGCTGAAATATTCATCATTATCTATCAGAATCTGTTTTAAATCTTTAACCATTTTACATTTCAGAAGTTCAGATATCAGGACAACAGTAAGTTTTACACTTAAGATAACTGTAGTAAATAACACGTTTTAACATCTAATATACAGTGCCAACTCATATATATATATATATATATATATAGGACATCGTAATCAATTTCTGAATGGTATAGCCAATGAAAAACATTCCGTGGTAGGTCACACTTGTAATTTATACAAAAAAAACGTTAAAACACACTTATTTACATAAATAGAAGAAGATATGTGTTGTTAAAGGTTTTTGTTTTTGTTGAGAAAAGTCTGGTCGTCGTTTCAACTATATATCTCAGTACTGCTTATAAACACTTGTAGCAAACATCTATATATTACATACAAATTCACTGGATAGTGCTCAGGTTATGTGATTTTTCATGTCATCACATTTGATATTTCTTATCTTTAATTATAAACAACTTCAAAAATTTGAAACAGAATATTCTTCATTTCAATATTTACAATGTAAAGAGAAATCCAAAAACTAGAGATGTTGAGAATCCTTTATTTACACATAATGTAAAGAGAAGAAATGTAGACAAACTTTTAATAAAATCAACATCACTGTAAATGATAAAACAAACTTACAGGGAAATTAAAGGCAGCATTTTTCCTACACTCTAAGCACTGATCGTCTTCATCTGATTGTGGCATGTCTGTGACCTACAACAGAAACAACCAATTACAAAATACAATCAACACGATTTGTAATTATCCAGAAATAATGTGTGTGGAGCACATTAGCCAATCAGAAATTGAAAGCAGAATAAGACCCAAACCTGCGATTTCAGTGACCTTGACCTTTACCATCATTACAGATGTTATTTTTAATAAGGTATAATGTACATAAAAGGTATATGCACCAGTTCACTTAGTTATTAAAATATACAGAGACATCATTTGGAGGCGTACCTTGGTTTGGTCAGACTCCACCTCCTTTGTATTTTTGGCACGTTCAGAAGAAAGGCCAACCTTACATAATTTTCTGTAATAGTCCACAAACCACTGTTTCTGCTCGTCTGTCAGATGTGCTGAAAATATCCATCAAAATTATGCATAACAAAAACATTGCAAATACATTTTTGTTGAAATTGAAACAGACTTGTGTATCGTGTACTTCAAAAAAAAAGATTAAAAAAATGTTGATCTTTATGTACTATTCGCAAATAGTCTGAAGTCATAATATCATTTCATAAATCACGAACTTCAAATAAGAATACCCACCCCTCCATTCCCATGTTAGTTACATTTATATTCCTCAACACTTTTATATATACCATTATAGGTTGATTTAACAGAGAATTATTATATTAAACAACTTTTGTAACTAAATTGATCACAAGGCTGTATAATAAAGTGTTATGAATGATATTATGATACAGACATAAATCACATGAACTACACAGAAAAGTTACCTGTCAGAAACGTCCTCTATTAAAGATTCGAAACATGACCTTGTGTCGATATTTTAACACAACTACATAAATAACAGGCCTGATATTCAAATCTTTTAATTACCATTCTCGTCTTAAATGTGATAAGCCATGACCTTGACTGCATGATTTGAAGACATCTGACTAATGGTTCTTGTATTGTAATTAAAAATCCAAAGAAAATTGGATGTTGTTTTGAATACTTAAGTGATGAGGCAGATTTTCAGAGGGTTGGGGGGGTGAGAGATATATTTTTTTTCTCTTTTCTATTTCCCCACCCCCCTCCCATCTTTTTTGACTCTCAGACAAAATAATCATTATGAAGCTGGAATCTTCCCATCGGGAATATAAGTGAAGAATTTAACTGTTTGAGAGATTGTAAGTGCCCATCTATCTTCCTTGAGACAATAAACATTGAGCAATTTGACCTCGTTGTGGTCCCTCCTTTAACAACTCCCTATTATTGATGATGGGATAATTCTAGTGTAATTAACACTGCAGCATATTTCCCTGATGTTTCAGGCCAGACAAATTATAACCTTTACATTACTGTCAATGATAACACTCGTAAAACATGAAAGGCACATTGGATTGTATGCAGTCTCTACAAATGGCTGAAATTGATTTTTTGTGTTCTTTCCCAGTCAGACATTTCTGTTTCTACCCTGAAGGCTTAACAGACATATCCATGCATCCTTACATAAAAACCATTTATCTAAGAGATCAAAAGATTTTTATCATCAAAACCATTTCCCGGAAATTCTTCAATCAATACTGAAATAGTTTCTATTTGAACTGAAAATTTCTGTGTAAATTGTTGTAAATTGAAGCTACACATTACAGCCTCTCCTCATCAATTTCCCAAAAAGTCAGTTTATGACAAAAGGTTTACAAAAGTTTTAGTGTTAACTGCTCGTCCATCTGTTTTTTATGACAGCACTGCCATTTCACAAATTTTTTTATTCCCTTGTGTTATTTAGTTTGGCTTATGTCAGATCAAACATTTCATTGATCATATATTCAACTTTATTGGCAATGGATCCGCCTTTTTCATCCTATACAATAAATCATGTCCGAATCCAAAAGATGTTATTCCAAAACACGACCATAAGTCATTAAATATTCAAAAGCTTTTAATTTATTTCAAGGGAGTGATGCTTCAAAATCCATACGGCTGTATTATACACTAGCTGTAACAATTACAGACATGATGGACGACTTTTATAGAATCATGTTTCCTTGTGTTCACTAATTGGTTTACATATTATAAAACCTGAATGTGTATAGCGACTGACATATAACTTAATATATTGCTAACCATTGTGAAAACAAATATTGATTTGTAGGAAAATAAAAATTCTAAACCAATTGATCACTTTCAATATTAAGGCTGTTTAGTGAGTATAGCAGATCAAAATTGATATAAGGTTATTCATTTTATTTTTTCACCAGAATAATCCAAGTTCTTTTTTTCTTGGCACCAGATAAGAATGTCTGTACAGTTGAGTATAATTACAGAAAATGTCTTCCATCACAGGAAATGTAGTCTAAAATCTTGTTAACCAAAATCCTAATCTCCCTGAAACTTCAAAGCCCAGATTTTTTTCTCAGAACAGATTCATGACCATGTGTATGATTGGGAAAAATTTTGACAGCAACAGCATCAATTATTTATTTCACTATAACCTTGAGAGGTAAACATTTCACAGTGACCTTTGAGGGTTTTCACTTCAGTGACCTTGAGAGGTAAACATTTCACAGTGACCTTTGAGGTTTTCACTTCAGTGACTTTGAGAGGTAAACATTTCACAGTGACCTTTGAGGTTTTCACTTCAGTGACCTTGAGAGGTAAACATTTCACAGTGACCTTTGAGGGTTTTAACATTTCAGTGACATTGAGTCGCTAATATGTCACAGTGACCCTAAGAGGTGAGAAATCTTACAGTTTATAGTGACTTTGAGAGGCTTACATGTCACAGTGACTTTCAGAGGAATAAAATTCACAGCAACCTTGAGAGGTTTAACAACTTACAATGATGTCCTTGAGAGTTTAACATTATTACAGTGATCTTGGTAAGTTTTACAGTGATCTTGGTAAGTTTTACAGTTTACAGTGATCTTGGTAAGTTTTACAGTTTACAGTGATCTTGGTAAGTTTTACAGTGATCTTGGTAAGTTTTACAGTGATCTTGGTAAGTTTTACAGTTTACAGTGATCTTGGTAGTAAGTTTTACAGTTTACAGTGATCTTGGTAAGTTTTACAGTGATCTTGGTTTTTACAGTTTACAGTGATCTTGGTAAGTTTTACAGTTTACAGTGATCTTGAAGTTTTACAGTTTACAGTGATCTTGGTAAGTTTTAAAGTGATCTTGGTAAGTTTTACAGTTTACAGTGATCTTGGTAAGTTTTACAGTTTACAGTGATCTTGGTAAGTTTTACAGTTTACAGTGATCTTGGTAAGTTTTACAGTTTACAGTGATCTTGGTAAGTTTTACAGTGATCTTGGTAAGTTTTACAGTTTACAGTGATCTTGGTAAGTTTTACAGTTTACAGTGATCTTGGTAAGTTTTACAGTTTACAGTGATCTTGGTAAGTTTTACAGTTTACAGTGATCTTGGTAAGTTTTACAGTTTACAGTGATCTTGGTAAGTTTTACAGTTTACAGTGATCTTGGTAAGTTTTACAGTTTACAGTGATCTTGGTAAGTTTTACAGTTTACAGTGATCTTGGTAAGTTTTACAGTTTACAGTGATCTTGGTAAGTTTTACAGTTTACAGTGATCTTGGTAAGTTTTACAGTTTACAGTGATCTTGGTAAGTTTTACAGTTTACAGTGATCTTGGTAAGTTTTACAGTTTACAGTGATCTTGGTAAGTTTTACAGTTTACAGTGATCTTGGTAAGTTTTACAGTTTACAGTGATCTTGGTAAGTTTTACAGTTTACAGTGATCTTGGTAAGTTTTACAGTTTACAGTGATCTTGGTAAGTTTTGAAGTTTTACAGTTTACAGTGATCTTGGTAAGTTTTACAGTTTACAGATGATACAGTTTACAGTGATCTTGGTAAGTTTTACAGTTTAAGTTTTACAGTGATCTTGGTAAGTTTTACAGTTTACAGTGATCTTGGTAAGTTTTACAGTGACAGTGATCTTGGTAAGTTTTACTTGGTAGTTTACAGTGATCTTGGTAAGTTTTACAGTTTACAGTGATCTTGGTAAGTTTTACAGTTTACAGTGATCTTGGTAAGTTTTACAGTTTACAGTGATCTTGGTAAGTTTTACAGTTTACAGTGATCTTGGTAGGTTTTACAGTTTACAGTGATCTTGGTAAGTTTTACAGTTTACAGTGATCTTGGTAAGTTTTACAGTTTACAGTGACCTTGGTAAGTTTTACAGTTTACAGTGATCTTGGTAAGTTTTACAGTTTACAGTGATCTTGGTAAGTTTTACAGTTTACAGTGATCTTGGTAAGTTTTACAGTTTACAGTGATCTTGGTAGGTTTGACAGTTTACAGTGATCTTACAGTGATCTTGGTTTTACAGTTTTACAGTTTTACAGTGATCTTGGTAAGTTTTACAGTTTACAGATCTTGGTAAGTTTTACAGTTTACAGGATCTTGGTAAGTTTTACAGTTTACAGTGATCTTGGTAAGTTTTACAGTTTTTGACAGTTTACAGTGATCTTGTTTTACAGTTTACAAGTTTTACAGTTTACAGTGATCTTGGCAAGTTTTACAGTTTACAGTGATCTCGGTAAGTTTTACAGTTTACAGTGATCTTGGTAGGTTTTACAGTTTACAGTGATCTCGGTAAGTTTTACAGTTTACAGTGATCTTGGTAAGTTTTACAGTTTACAGTGATCTTGGTAAGTTTTACAGTTTACAGTGATCTTGGTAAGTTTTACAGTTTACAGTGATCTTGGTAAGTTTTACAGTTTACAGTGATCTTGGTAAGTTTTACAGTTTACAGTGATCTTGGTAAGTTTTACAGTTTACAGTGATCTTGGTAAGTTTTACAGTTTACAGTGATCTTGGTAAGTTTTACAGTTTACAGTGATCTTGGTAAGTTTTACAGTTTACAGTGATCTTGGTAAGTTTTACAGTTTACAGTGATCTTGGTAAGTTTTACAGTTTACAGTGATCTTGGTAAGTTTTACAGTTTACAGTGATCTTGGTAAGTTTGACAGTGATCTTGGTAAGTTTTACAGTTTACAGTGATCTTGGTAAGTTTTACAGTTTACAGTGATCTTGGTAAGTTTTACAGTTTACAGTGATCTTGGTAAGTTTTACAGTTTACAGTGATCTTGGTAAGTTTTACAGTTTACAGTGATCTTGGTAAGTTTTACAGTTCTTGGTAAGTTTTACAGTTTACAGTGATCTTGGTAAGTTTTACAGTTTACAGTGATCTTGGTAAGTTTTACAGTTTACAGTGATCTTGGTAAGTTTTACAGTTTACAGTGATCTTGGTAAGTTTTACATTTTACAGTTTACAGTGATCTTGGTAAGTTTTACAGTTTACAGTGATCTTGGTAAGTTTTACAGTTTACAGTGATCTTGGTAAGTTTTACAGTTTACACTGATCTTGGTAAGTTTTACAGTTTACAGTGATCTTGGTAAGTTTTACAGTTTACAGTGATCTTGGTAAGTTTTACATTGAGATATTCACCTTGTAGACCGTGAGCAAGGCGGCCAAGTTGTTTGGCAACGACAGGAAGGGTGCTGTCCTCATTCTGCATCGCCTGCTGACAGAACTTACACACCAGGGGAATGATGGTGTTATTGCAGGTGTCTGAAATCACAGAAGATCAAGGTCAAGGTCAACAGCAAGGTCAAGGTCATGATTATGTTGCACTAAAATTTTCAAAATCTAAATGTAAGTCTACAAATATTTAAACACAAACAAATATCATTCTTACCGCAAATTCTAAAACAGAGCCAAACCCACAATGTACCTATTAAAGTCAGTAATCCAACAAAAATTTTATACCAAAGTATTGAAGCTTCTGAATAAAATGAACATAGAAAGGCAAATATTTGAGGCTCCTCAACCCCACCCTCCAAACCTTCCTCTCAGATAGAAAACTTTGGTGTATAAACAGAGGGAAATCCCCCCACACCAAAAAATTCTTGCTGGCGACTTGTGCTATATACCAATCTGATATTCCATAATTTGTTTATCAAAAACAATACCTGCAGAGAGCAACAACACAAAGCTGCTGCACACAAACAAGGCCTTGTACTTAACATCAAAGTAGGATTTAGCTATAAATTCTAGCATTATAGAGATATTACCCAATATTTATTATAAGGGAGCTTAATTAATGCCGTTAATAGGATGAGGGTTACATCAGAGGGAAGAAATATGACCGTACTACTCAAGTGTAGCATGTGATATAATAGATGTGGGATAGTACTGAGAGGTTTTTTTTACCCTCGTCCAACAGGCTAAGTATGCTGACAACCGTTTCCAGGCCAGCTGTTCTTACGAACCCCTCCTCGTCATTTGTTAGTTCTACCAGTTCAGGTAATATTGCACTTTTTGTTGGTTCAAGGCTGCAGAAAAAAAATAAAACAAATTTTATTTAAAGAACAATATCTGTCATAATCAAGTTAAGTTTACTCTCACTCTTCAGTCTGACTTAGGTTTGTCCTTAAAACAATCATTATCTTAACGAACCATTGAGGCAAAAACTGAAAGAATTTTAATATCAATCAGAAATCTAAAAGTATAGTAGCATGTTTCTTGTCTTAAAATATTATTTTCAATTCTTAAAAATGCAATTCAGGTTTAATCTTTTAATTTTTTCTTTGGAAATATCAAAAAGATTTAATTTGCTTTCATTAATTATTAATAACCAGACTTTTGTTAGATTCATACATTTGGAACACCTACTGTAATCTTTAGATCAGATTTATAACCAAAACTATCTACAAAGGTTGGGTTCCTATTGTTATGAGGAAATAATTGCACAATTTTTTCCATTATAAAAGAATGTCTCACCCTAGCCCCCTGGCCACAGAATCAAGTTGTCGACACATACATCCTCTGACTTCATAGTCCACATCCTGACACAAGGACTGTACCACAGGCAGGATTTCTTTTTTAATTCTGAAAAAAATATTTAGTATCAAAAAAGTTCCATAATATCAAAATAAAGATTTAAAGAAAATTTATTCAACCACATGTTTTATTTAAAAAAAACCACATAAAATTAACTTTGAAGAAAACAAATTTCAACACAGTCATTTTTTTTAACATATCTATTCCTGCTTAGAAAATTATCATCTTTTTGTTGGCATTCAGGATTCTACAAACTTGGGAATCAAACCACACACTTTGGATCTGACCTACAGACTTTGCTATCGAGTTCCAATGTATATAGAATTTGCAAAAAAAATATGACTAACATCTCCAATCTATTTATCTGTTCTGCTTCTTTATACAAAAAATAAATTTAATGTCTGAAATAATTCATAAAGGAGCCATCAAACTCCACAAAACATCGAACAGAAACCCTCGCAGATTAAACCTGCTGACGATTAACCAACACTTTGCACACAACCAGCTGTCACTTATCGAACATATCAAATATTTTTATGACATAATAGAATGTTTAAGGAAAGCTTGGCTGTCACGATTACGCACCAAATTTCAGGATATTATCTGAAAGGCATACTTAAAACTTGTGTATTAAAACGATACAAAAATTTTACGAAACATTTTAAAGAGATCAACAGAAGTAAGAGATTTTGTAAGATGAAATATTTTTGCCTCTCATCATAATTGAATATCAAGTAACTAGTACATGCATGCTGTGTCAGAGACAGACAGCAACATGGGGAAGGTGTATAGGTTCTCAGTTCAGTCTCGTCAACACAAATATCGATTGGTTGTTCTACTCGAAGAGTTTATAGAGAAGAGGCCGGGACAGCTCGATCTGATTCCTGCATTCAATACCCACAGCATGATAATTGGCCTGATAATATTTACAGGTCCAGCACACTATAATATAGCTTAATGAATAATTCTCCTACCATCCAAACACTTGGCATACCATACTAACATATAGACATGCCTCCAGACTTGTTTTTCTGCCAGCCAGGATTTTTTTCTCACTCTAAGCCTGTCTATCTCTCACACTCTCTCAGGCAATTTACTGAATTACTTTTCAACTTTTACCAGAGATTATGTAACAGAGGCACAAAAACGCTCTCTCTGTTTTTGACATTTCAACTTTTCAAACTACACTCCCCTACTCCCTACAGCATGTACGTCATCAGACAATACTTTCTGTTCAAACTATCTAATTCAGAAATATAAAAATCAGCTTATTTATTTTACTATAATTGTGGCTGGATGGAAGCCTGTGAGAGTGTGAAAGGAAACTGAAGTACCTGAGGAACACCCATGTGGTCAGGTAGATGACCTAAATGGTTTCATGTCCATTCAGGAGAATCTGACCCCAAATGTCTAGGTGACACTAAAGTGTGTTACCTCTGTACCACCCTACCACCAAGATTTTACACATAGGAACATACAAGCTGAATTCTGGAATACTGTATTTGACCTAATAATCACCACTGCCCATGTCTCTCATCTATTGAATTCAGATACAAAATTAAGCTTTTTAAATCTGTCACCCCCATAAATATACCAAGCTACTAAACAAAACTGAAAATTCTGCGGTGAACATTCTGGTGTGAGAATTCCATTTCTAAACACATTTTATCTATGAAACTTTACCCTATAAACAGCTTCATCAACAGCATGTCTTTTGTGTTTTTTTTAAACACAAGGTGTGCTTATTAAGTTTGATATGGTAATAATTAGGAGGTAACAACACCAGTAAGGAAGGGAACATGTCTGCAAAATATGAAAAAAAAATTCACTTGTTTTCTCAACAGTGAATAAGAAAAAAAATTATAACTCAAAAAGCACAAGTTCAAATGATCCATTCAGTTCCAATCAACGTTTGAAAAAAAGGTAAGGAGATTTCACTTCGACAGGATGGAGTCAGAAAAAAGTGTGAAAAAAACAATGAGTTGAAGCCGACTCTAAAAATCTCCCAATGGTCTTGAAACGTTTGTATAATTAAATTACACGTAGCAGACAATATGCATTATCAGCGAAGGACTCCTGGATTTCATCCCAAAGGCTTTGCATTTCCTCGAACAGTTTAAAAGAAAGAGCTTGTGTATGGGAGGATGCACTCATGTCTCATGATCACGAAAACTTGTACTTTGTGGGTTCAAACATTGATTGGAAGTGAAAGAATAAACTCACACTAGAAATTCTAATCTGGTAATCTGAGAATATGGAGATGGGTGGGGTAGGGAGAGTAAGGAAGATGGGTGGGGTGGGGAGAGTAAGGATAGGTGGGGTGGAGTTGGGGAGAGCAGAGAATGGGTGGGGTGGAGAGAGCAGGGAGATGGGTGGGTGGGGAGAGTAGAGAGATGGGTGGGGTAGGGAGAGTAAGGAAGATGGGTGGGGTGGGGAGAGCAGAGAATGGGTGGGGTGGGGAGAGCAGGGAGATGGGTGGGTGGGGAGAGAGAGAGATAGAGAGAGATGGGTGGGGTGGGGAGAGAGGGTGGGGTGGGGAGAGTAGAGAGATGGGTGGGGTGGGAGAGAGAGAGAGATGGGTGGGTGGGGAGGAGAGGGTGGGGTGGGAGAGAGAGAGTAGGGTAGGGTGGGGAGAGAGCAGGGAAATGGGTGGGTGGGGAGAGTAGAGAGATGGGTGGGGTGGGGAGAGCAGGGAGATGGGTGGGGTGGGGAGAGTAGAGAGATGGATAGGGTGGGGAGAGCAGGGAGATGGGTGGGGTGGGAAGAGTAGAGAGATGGGTGGGTGGGGAGAGTAGAGAGATGGGTGGGGTGGGGAGAGTAGAGAGATGGGTGGGGTGGGGAGAACAGGGAGATGGGAGGATCGGGAGAACTAGACTTATACTCACACGAATGGTTCAAACTTGGTAGCAATCTTTCCAAGGATTTTACAGCAGGACAAACGAGAATGCACCGCCTGTGATAGCTGGCCTTTAGCAATGGCAATGTTCAAAATCTGCAGGAAAAATAATTGTAATAAAATATCCTGTGTGAAACAAAATCCTCACACAGTAAGCTCCCCTTTAAATCCTCACACAGTAAGCTCCCCTTTAAATCCTCACACAGTAAGCTCCCCTTTAAATCCTCACACAGTAAGCTCCCCTTTAAATCCTCACACAGTAAGCTCCCCGTTTGACAATAATACAGTGTAAAGGCCATTGTTATCAGCTTTTATCAGTATCATTCTGTATAATTATCATACAGTGTAAAGGCCATTGTTATCAGCTTTTATCAGTATCATTCTGTATAATTATCATACAGTGTAAAGGCCATTGTTATCAGTATCATTCTGTATAATTATCATACAGTGTAAAGGCCATTGTTATCAGCTTTTATCAGTATCATTCTGTATAATTATCATACAGTGTAAAGGCCATTGTTATCAGCTTTTATCAGTATCATTCTGTATAATTATCATACAGTGTAAAGGCCATTGTTATCAGCTGTTATCAGTATCATTCTGTATAATTATCATACAGTGTAAAGGCCATTGTTATCAGCTGTTATCAGTATCATTCTGTATAATTATCATACAGTGTAAAGGCCATTGTTATCAGCTTTTATCAGTATCATTCTGTATAATTATCATACAGTGTAAAGGCCATTGTTATCAGCTTTTATCAGTATCATTCTGTATAATTATCATACAGTGTAAAGGCCATTGTTATCAGCTTTTATCAGTATCATTCTGTATAATTATCATACAGTGTAAAGGCCATTGTTATCAGCTGTTATCAGTATCATTCTGTATAATTATCATACAGTGTAAAGGCCATTGTTATCAGCTTTTATCAGTATCATTCTGTATAATTATCATACAGTGTAAAGGCCATTGTTATCAGTATCATTCTGTATAATTATCATACAGTGTAAAGGCCATTGTTATCAGCTTTTATCAGTATCATTCTGTATAATTATCATACAGTGTAAAGGCCATTGTTATCAGTATCATTCTGTATAATTATCATACAGTGTAAAGGCCATTGTTATCAGTATCATTCTGTATAATTATCATACAGTGTAAAGGCCATTGTTATCAGCTGTTATCAGTATCATTCTGTATAATTATCATACAGTGTAAAGGCCATTGTTATCAGTATCATTCTGTATAATTATCATACAGTGTAAAGGCCATTGTTATCAGTTTTATCAGTATCATTCTGTATAATTATCATACAGTGTAAAGGCCATTGTTATCAGTATCATTCTGTATAATTATCATACAGTGTAAAGGCCATTGTTATCAGCTTTTATCAGTATCATTCTGTATAATTATCATACAGTGTAAAGGCCATTGTTATCAGCTTTTATCAGTATCATTCTGTATAATTATCATACAGTGTAAAGGCCATTGTTATCAGTATCATTCTGTATAATTATCATACAGTGTAAAGGCCATTGTTATCAGCTTTTATCAGTATCATTCTGTATAATTATCATACAGTGTAAAGGCCATTGTTATCAGCTGTTATCAGTATCATTCTGTATAATTATCATACAGTGTAAAGGCCATTGTTATCAGCTGTTATCAGTATCATTCTGTATAATTATCATACAGTGTAAAGGCCATTGTTATCAGTATCATTCTGTATAATTATCATACAGTGTAAAGGCCATTGTTATCAGTATCATTCTGTATAATTATCATACAGTGTAAAGGCCATTGTTATCAGCTTTTATCAGTATCATTCTGTATAATTATCATACAGTGTAAAGGCCATTGTTATCAGCTTTTATCAGTATCATTCTGTATAATTATCATACAGTGTAAAGGCCATTGTTATCAGTATCATTCTGTATAATTATCATACAGTGTAAAGGCCATTGTTATCAGTATCATTCTGTATAATTATCATACAGTGTAAAGGCCATTGTTATCAGCTTTTATCAGTATCATTCTGTATAATTATCATACAGTGTAAAGGCCATTGTTATCAGTATCATTCTGTATAATTATCATACAGTGTAAAGGCCATTGTTATCAGCTTTTATCAGTATCATTCTGTATAATTATCATACAGTGTAAAGGCCATTGTTATCAGTATCATTCTGTATAATTATCATACAGTGTAAAGGCCATTGTTATCAGCTTTTATCAGTATCATTCTGTATAATTATCATACAGTGTAAAGGCCATTGTTATCAGTATCATTCTGTATAATTATCATACAGTGTAAAGGCCATTGTTATCAGTATCATTCTGTATAATTATCATACAGTGTAAAGGCCATTGTTATCAGCTTTTATCAGTATCATTCTGTATAATTATCATACAGTGTAAAGGCCATTGTTATCAGCTGTTATCAGTATCATTCTGTATAATTATCATACAGTGTAAAGGCCATTGTTATCAGCTTTTATCAGTATCATTCTGTATAATTATCATACAGTGTAAAGGCCATTGTTATCAGATTATATCAGTATCATTATCTATAATTATCATACAGTGTAAAGGCCATTGTTATCAGCTGTTATCAGTATCATTCTGTATAATTATCATACAGTGTAAAGGCCATTGTTATCAGCTTTTATCAGTATCATTCTGTATAATTATCATACAGTGTAAAGGCCATTGTTATCAGCTTTTATCAGTATCATTCTGTATAATTATCATACAGTGTAAAGGCCATTGTTATCAGCTGTTATCAGTATCATTCTGTATAATTATCATACAGTGTAAAGGCCATTGTTATCAGCTGTTATCATATCATTCTGTATAATTATCATACAGTGTAAAGGCCATTGTTATCAGCTTTTATCAGTATCATTCTGTATAATTATCATACAGTGTAAAGGCCATTGTTATCAGCTTTTATCAGTATCATTCTGTATAATTATCATACAGTGTAAAGGCCATTGTTATCAGCTGTTATCAGTATCATTCTGTATAATTATCATACAGTGTAAAGGCCATTGTTATCAGCTTTTATCAGTATCATTCTGTATAATTATCATACAGTGTAAAGGCCATTGTTATCAGCTGTTATCAGTATCATTCTGTATAATTATCATACAGTGTAAAGGCCATTGTTATCAGCTGTTATCAGTATCATTCTGTATAATTATCATACAGTGTAAAGGCCATTGTTATCAGTATCATTCTGTATAATTATCATACAGTGTAAAGGCCATTGTTATCAGCTGTTATCAGTATCATTCTGTATAATTATCATACAGTGTAAAGGCCATTGTTATCAGCTTTTATCAGTATCATTCTGTATAATTATCATACAGTGTAAAGGCCATTGTTATCAGTATCATTCTGTATAATTATCATACAGTGTAAAGGCCATTGTTATCAGTATCATTCTGTATAATTATCATACAGTGTAAAGGCCATTGTTATCAGCTGTTATCAGTATCATTCTGTATAATTATCATACAGTGTAAAGGCCATTGTTATCAGCTGTTATCAGTATCATTCTGTATAATTATCATACAGTGTAAAGGCCATTGTTATCAGCTGTTATCAGTATCATTCTGTATAATTATCATACAGTGTAAAGGCCATTGTTATCAGCTGTTATCAGTATCATTCTGTATAATTATCATACAGTGTAAAGGCCATTGTTATCAGCTTTTATCAGTATCATTCTGTATAATTATCATACAGTGTAAAGGCCATTGTTATCAGCTGTTATCAGTATCATTCTGTATAATTATCATACAGTGTAAAGGCCATTGTTATCAGCTTTTATCAGTATCATTCTGTATAATTATCATACAGTGTAAAGGCCATTGTTATCAGCTGTTATCATATCATTCTGTATAATTATCATACAGTGTAAAGGCCATTGTTATCAGCTTTTATCAGTATCATTCTGTATAATTATCATATAGTGTAAAGGCCATTGTTATCAGTATCATTCTGTATAATTATCATACAGTGTAAAGGCCATTGTTATCAGCTTTTATCAGTATCATTCTGTATAATTATCATACAGTGTAAAGGCCATTGTTATCAGCTTTTATCAGTATCATTCTGTATAATTATCATATAGTGTAAAGGCCATTGTTATCAGTATCATTCTGTATAATTATCATACAGTGTAAAGGCCATTGTTATCAGTATCATTTGTATAATTATCATACAGTGTAAAGGCCATTGTTATCAGCTTTTATCAGTATCATTCTGTATAATTATCATACAGTGTAAAGGCCATTGTTATCAGCTTTTATCAGTATCATTCTGTATAATTATCATACAGTGTAAAGGCCATTGTTATCAGCTGTTATCAGTATCATTCTGTATAATTATCATACAGTGTAAAGGCCATTGTTATCAGCTGTTATCAGTATCATTCTGTATAATTATCATACAGTGTAAAGGCCATTGTTATCAGCTGTTATCAGTATCATTCTGTATAATTATCATACAGTGTAAAGGCCATTGTTATCAGCTGTTATCATATCATTCTGTATAATTATCATACAGTGTAAAGGCCATTGTTATCAGCTTTTATCATATCATTCTGTATAATTATCATACAGTGTAAAGGCCATTGTTATCAGCTTTTATCAGTATCATTCTGTATAATTATCATACAGTGTAAAGGCCATTTTTATCAGCTTTTATCAGTAACATTTTTATTCTGTATAATTATCATTTTTTCAATTTTCTTTTTTCTACTTGAAAAAATGAATTTCCAGATATCATTTGATAACTAGAGATTTTAATGATATGTGAATACCTGGCTAAGTTAGCGATCAGATTACAGGCAACATCAGGTACTTTATATGACACTGATTCAATTACTTAACAGCACTCAACTCTCATTATTTTAACACTTCACAAAATCTATTTTTTGGTTTTAAACACTAATGACTTTTGGGAAACAAATATTGGATGTCAAGTTTTGAACATTTTCTGTGGAGAATATATTAAAGCAAAAAAAAAAAAAGAAAACATTTTTTGTTGGTTTGATATTTGAATTACACTATTGTGTATTTGCTGTATTGAAGTAAATATACTGTCTAAGTGTCTGACATGCCTAGAAAAAAACCAACACTATTAACATTGTTCAAATTGTTCTCCATCAAAGAATTTTAAGGATGTTATCTCCAGTGATTGTCACTATTATTGTACGTCTAGTGAGCTCAGTACTTCCTATCCTTTCCATCTCATTCAAAACATTCAATTCGTTATAAAAAAAAGAATGAAACAGTTGATATTAAAACTAAAAACATTCCCTGTATGATTCAATGATATTACAGGGTGTTACTCCAGGTATAAAATAAACGTAGTTGATATCTGATGAGGTTAACTAAGCAAATCTGATACAGTGATAAACATCTTTTGTTACACCTGGGACAGAAAGCTCCACATATGTATTCTATCACCTTGTCATTTCTGGCAAATTTCTGTTCTGTAATCCTTTTACTGTGTAAGCGACCAGACAGATAGTGCTTCTCTCTCCCTAGACCCCCACCCCCTCCAACCTCACAACATTTCTGGTATGTCTCTCCTTCCCCAGATCTACAGATTAAGACCTGGAGCTACCCAGAATCCAGACAGCCAGATCTTTATCATATTATGTTTGATATTTGATATGAATAAGCAGCATTTTCTATTTCTATCCAATTCTCTTTCTATAACCCAAGTTTGCCATTAAAAAATGGAGTCCCTGTTGGGCTGGAGTCTTGGCATAATAACACGATTACTTGTAATTACATATGGACTCAAACAGCTCTAAACACTCAACTGATCTGAGTTAGATGTAAATCAATGGATCCAAAATGACTGTTATGATAATATCAGACTTCTGCATCCATCAAATACAGCCCAACGAGAAACTCTATATTGAACAATTCTGCAGCAATTAATTCAATGACCCGCTCCAGACTATCCTAATCAATACTGTTTGCACCACTGGCATGCAGGCCCAGTCTGTGATCCCCACCATACGCTCTGTTACTATAAACATTTTTCTTGACAAATTTAACTTTAAGGTCAAACAGTTTAATGGGTTTCAGTGATTGATTTTAATACTTCATCCCTCAAGGCCGGTTACTGAACACTGCAATCCCTTGTTTTGTTTTGAACTTTCAACAAATTGATTCACAATGCATCGTTTTGATCTCTAGGAAAGTTCATGCTATATCAACTCCAGGGAAATCAGTCAGTTAATTTGAGAAGAATCCTTTCAACATTGCCATGTATTAAATCAATTACAAAGATTGGATACCAATATCTCAGTAAATTATTGAGTTTTACCTACACGTTTGTCTCAGTCATACAGTCAGCGTTTGTTTAATATCTCAGTAAATTATTGAGTCTTGCCTTGACGTTTGTCTCAGTCATACAGTCAGCGTTTGTTTAATATCTCAGTAGATTATTGAGTCTTGCCTTGACGTTTGTCTCAGTCGTACACAGTCAGCGTTTGTTTAATATCTCAGTAAATTATTGAGTTTTACCTACACCTTTGTCTCAGTCGTACACAGTCAGCGTTTGTTTAATATCTCAGTAAATTATTGAGTCTTGCCTTGACGTTTGTCTCAGTCGTACACAGTCAGCGTTTGTTTAATATCTCAGTAAATTATTGAGTCTTGCCTTGACGTTTGTCTCAGTCGTACACAGTCAGCGTTTGTTTAATATCTCAGTAAATTATTGAGTTTTACCTACACCTTTGTCTCAGTCGTACACAGTCAGCGTTTGTTTAATATCTCAGTAGATTATTGAGTCTTGCCTTGACGTTTGTCTCAGTCGTACACAGTCAGCGTTTGTTTAATATCTCAGTAAATTATTGAGTCTTGCCTTGACGTTTGTCTCAGTCGTACACAGTCACAGTAAATTATTGAGTTTTACCTAGCGTTTGTTTGTTTAATATCTCAGTAAATTATTGAGTTTTACCTACACCTTTGTCTCAGTCGTACACAGTCAGCGTTTGTTTAATATCTCAGTAAATTATTGAGTCTTGCCTTGACGTTTGTCTCAGTCGTACACAGTCAACGTTTGTTTAATATCTCAGTAAATTATTGAGTTTTAATTTGTCTCAGTCATACAGTCAGCGTTTGTTTAATATCTCAGTAAATTATTGAGTCTTGCCTTGACGTTTGTCTCAGTCGTACACAGTCAACGTTTGTTTAATATCTCAGTAAATTATTGAGTCTTGCCTTGACGTTTGTCTCAGTCGTACACAGTCAGCGTTTGTTTAATATCTCAGTAAATTATTGAGTTTTACCTACACCTTTGTCTCAGTCGTACACAGTCAGCGTTTGTTTAATATCTCAGTAGATTATTGAGTCTTGCCTTGACGTTTGTCTCAGTCGTACACAGTCAACGTTTGTTTAATATCTCAGTAAATTATTGAGTTTTACCTACACCTTTGTCTCAGTCGTACACAGTCAGCGTTTGTTTAATATCTCAGTAGATTATTGAGTCTTGCCTTGACGTTAGTCTCAGTCAGCATTTGTTTGAGCTGTTGATGTTTTGATTGCTGAATAAGCCATCAAAATAAACACAATGGTATTAACAAGTATATTTTAGAAGAAAAAGAGGAACTTGTCCAAATATCTTATTTTTGGTTTTACGTCCATATATTACTTTATTAATCCTCAAACAAGTCTAGAAGACAAACATATTACTTATGTTAAAGTCAGTGTGTGGGCTTATTACAGGATAATAAGCCCGGTAGACCAACATGTTTCTTCTGACTTAAAAGTCAGAGAGGGTGTGGGCTTATTACATGACAATACGCCCAGTAGACCAACATGTTACTTCTGACTTAAAAGTCAGAGAGGGTGTGGGCTTATTACATGACAATACGCCCAGTAGACCAACATGTTACTTCTGACTTAAAAGTCAGAGAGGGTGTGGGCTTATTACATGACAATACGCCCAGTAGACCAACATGTTACTTCTGACTTAAAAGTCAGAGAGGGTGTGGGCTTATTACATGACAATACGCCCAGTAGACCAACATGTTACTTCTGACTTAAAAGTCAGAGAGGGTGTGGGCTTATTACATGACAATACGCCCAGTAGACCAACATGTTACTTCTGACTTAAAAGTCAGAGAGGGTGTGGGCTTATTACATGACAATACGCCCAGTAGACCAACATGTTTCTTCTGACTTAAAGTCAGTGGGTGGGCTTATTACAGGACAATAAGTCCAGCAGACCAACATGTTACCCAGGGCTCTCGATCTGCTAGATTTGGGGCCGATATTTGGCCCCATTCCCAATGCAAAATAGTATCTTTTTCTCCTAATTTAGACCCCAGGTTTTCCCAATTCTAGGGAAAACACTGCTATTTTTCCCAATTCTAAGGGCCCCGGGCCCCAGTTGGAAAATGGGGTGTGAGAGCCCTGTTACTTCTGACTTAAAGTCTGAAATATATTGAAGAATTATGTGTCAAAAACATTTTTTTTTACATTTGTTGAGAAGATTTGACATACCCAACCTAAGAAAATTAAATGAGATTTTATACCCAATCAATCAAGTTTACTTTTAAACTTCTGTTTCCATTTTGTAAACAGAAATAGATCCAATCAATCAGAAGTATAGGCCTTACAGATATGACCTGAATACTCACCTCTTTTTTGATGATATCTTTAGGCAGTAGGTCTATAACATCCAGTAATGTTTCTAACCAGGCACTGGCCACATCTGTAAATGCAAAAGGAAGATTATCAGGGTGATCTGGATAATCCCCCCAGTCTTTTACCTCTATAATCCTCTTACACAATCACACTCTACTAGAAAGTTGTCTAATGGTCTTCTCCTGCTGTCCTACATTACTGTGTACTCCCTTCCCTAAACTGACTCCTGTTTCTCATAATCAAGGAGAATCTTGAATTGAAGAAGAAATAGGACTGATCTTTTTTTGGGGAGGGGGGGACCGATATGTCTGATTCTTGAAAAGATGATTAGCTAGCACACTAATAGAGCTGGATATTTCTAAACTAAACCCAAAACTTTCTTTCCTAACCTTTATTGTTGTAGTCATTATAATAGATATCATTAGCATTCTAAAACATTGATAATAATATTTAGGCTGCAAATTTTTTGTTATATTTTCTACTCTATTCAAGCATGATTTGCTGACTAGAATATGTCAGTACAAAGCTAAATGTAATCAGACAGATAAATCAATTCTCATGTCAGAAGCTCAATTCAGTGGCTCCAAGGTTATGGTCAAATTGATACAATGCTTTAACTGTCGCTCTCATCCATTTTGAAAATTGAAGCTATAGATTCAAAACTGACCTAGTTATTGAATTATTGAGCATGTCACCTAACAATAAATAACAACAGCCGAGGACAGTAGGCTTCTAAGAACTGTTCCTTGTCAAGGTCAGGATGTCCCTAAGTTATTTCTCCTGCTCAGGCAATATCAGTTTTAGGAGATATAGAAAATATGGACTAGAATCATAGAACATGAAATCATACACCATCATCTGTTTTTGGAATGGTTATCAATTACAATCATCTTCAAGACACTGAACATGGAAAGTTGCTTGATGGCATTATAGAAAGCAAGAGCTCTAAGGATCCAGATTTTCACAAAATATTTTTTTTTCTTTAGATAAAAAACATCTGAAAGGTTTGATATTTTTCTTTGAATAAAAAAAAACTATTCTTGGGGTTTGACAATTTTGATCATAAAGTTATGTGTAATTCCTCAGAGTTTCTAAAATGGATTGATCAAACATCAGAAAGCAAGCTGTATTGAGTGCAGTCCAGTCCTTTTTTTCCAAACAATACCATATATGCTAGGAAGATGATTGACTCTGGAGAATTTCACAGCTGCCCTGGGAGTTAAGTGTCCCAACATTAGCTACAAGTTAGGCATCATGACTTTTAAAGGATATTGATTGGTCCAGTTATAGTCTGCAACACAAGCTGATGGACATTTCGCAGCACTCTAATGGGAATTAACTCCATATGTTATCACAAACACAGCTGTTAGGTAGGCTTATAAGGTCAGGGCGATCAGATCTGATGCTAAACTGACCTATTATTTCTGTGTGATTCACCAACATAGGAGCAGGTGGTGAAAACCTGCTGGACAACATAACCCTTGTAGCATAACCAATCAAAGTCTCCATTTAGCTGGTGACAAACTCACTGAACAACAAATGGAAGGCACATCACATGCTATCCAAAGCTATTGAGGTAGAGTCAGTCATCTTGCTGAAGACACAATTATGACAAACTAGGACAATTCATTATCCCAAATTCATTGAGAAAGACAAATCTGCTCCAAGTAGTAAATAAACTATGCACCTCCTTTCTCTTACCAGATGTTCTAAGTTCTCAACGACATGGCCACCAAACATAAAAGCATGTTGCTCTCCAAAAATCTAGCCAGTCATAATTGATGTGACCATGGACAAACATCAAAGAAACCTGATTTAGAAACAATGACAGGATTTTGATAGGGATAGTGATGGTAAATTCTACAGTACAAAGGTCTTAAAAGGCATTGTCCCAATTTTCTTCTACAGTTTTGAATTCAACAGTTCTATAGAACCTGTTCATCTTGGTTCCTGCTTGAATGTTTTATCAAATGAACCTTGTACACTACTAATATCATATAAAAATTGTGTCATGGCAATTCTGAAGACATGTTTTTTTATTCTAGGATCTCCTTGAAGAAAAATTTGAAATATTGACTGGAACCTAAGCCTAAGATTTTATCCATCTTACTCCCAACAGAAAACAAAATGAGAATAGATTTATAGGCTGTCTGTTCAATTGTTCGCAACGTTATTTTAAACATGACGTAACCATAAAACCGTATAAAAGATTGTAGCACATGAAGAATCATGGAGACCTATGATAGATTGTGGCCCTGCAACACAAACAGCTTTGGCAGTAGATATGGTGGTCGATGTGGGAAAACCAGAATGAAAAGTTATTAGTTTGTGCAAAGGGAACATGCTGGATGATTCACATGCGATCAATACAAAGTGATCTTGTGGGGAAGCTAAATCTAACACTTCCTAGACCACAAAGTTTCACCTATTAAAAACTCAATATAATTCGACTTGAAGGATGAAATAACACAATTTAATAGCTCGAACCAAGACTTTGTTTCCATATATAGTTTAAACCAATAATTAAATAACAAATCAACAGTAACAATTTTCACATAAATTTGCTGTTTCTTTCAAAAGGTCGACCTATTCTTGTTTTACAATAAATTATTCTGAAAATTATTGAGAAAAAAAAATAACATTTTTATAGGTTCTCGGGACCATGACCACAAACGACAGGTAAGTCTATGTAAGGAGCCAGAAAGGCCAATGATTTGATGTTACAACTTACTCTGTACATATAAGAGTACCTGCTGTGTTACTATAGGCCAATATCCACCTCCATCATTACACAGATATAGCATTATTTTTACTTACATAAACAGTGTCTTAGTCACAATATCTAATATGAGGATGGACAAATTGGTGATTTTTTTAATCATCAATTTATTAAATTATTCAAAAGATAGCCATACATTGATAATGACACATTTGTCAACATTCCAAATTGACTACTGTCTTTACTGATAGCTAGTTTCTGCCTTGCTTTAACACTTTTAAACACTTTCTGTGATTCTGGGCAATATCAACCCTGATGGTTCAAACTCCAGTTTTGAAGTATCATTTCAAATTTTTCAACAAGGTTTAACAACATTTATATATCTGAACAAAAATTTATTATATCTCTCTCAAAATGCCCCCCCCCCCCCCCAAAAAAAAAGCATTTTTTTTTTCTCAGAAACAATTTGTAAACAATGACTTTACCAGGCAGAAAGAAAGCCTTTAGGATGGTGGCTTCCTATCAGAATTTTATTTTTGTGATCAGTAAGTAAATTGCTCTGAAACAGGTGCTTTAATTATATATCACTAAAGAATCTGGCCCAGAAAACATCCTAATATTTATATTAAAAACAGTTCATGTGAGTCAGTTCCTACAAGCCAATAGATTCATCGTCATTTTTTTACTTTTTACTTTTACCAATAACATTGATGTATAGTGTCAGCTTTCTAATCAACTACATCTTCTGTGCCACACACACACACTCACAGAAAGCCAAGTCGCCAGATAATGATAAGATATAGATATATCTACTGATTTATTCTCAGATGTTGTTATCTCCAGTCAGTTTTCATCTTACTTGCAGAATTCAATGGAATGGAGAAATCTAAAATTTCATTAATCAGGACAAGATTATTCATTTTGTATTAAAGATAGAACACCAGGGAATTTTATGTACAATTCCAGATCTATCTTATCCATATTGAGGAATTCTATTACCTCCTGTATCAGTTCCCTCAGACACCAGATTCAATTTATATACAGTCATTATTCAACAGATTTTAATATCACACATCTTAGATCTTGGAAGAAGAAGAAAGACGATAAAAGAAATTAAGAGGAAAAGAAGAAGAAGAAGAAGAAGAAGAAGAAGAAGAAGAAAGAAGAAGAGGAAGAAGAAATAAACAACATCTGCTTTGAATGGGAAAATTTTTGAAGATGCTTCACATATGTTAAAGTTATTAAAGTTAACTCATGCAGATATTTTGCACAGAGCTAATAAACTGTGACAAGATATATTTCCCTTCTTCCATATGCTTGATGGTTGAAAAAAACCTAACATGCAGTTGTCTCATATGACAGTACCATATGTTCTGGACTGAAAATCTATTAATAAATTAAAAAACAGGAAATGCAATATCTCCATTTCAATTTCGAAAGCAATAAATAACAGCGTATATTAGGAGATCTGAGAAAGCACTTAACACATCAGAGATTCAAATGGCTATAATGATTAGATTTTCTTAAGTAGCAGTGATTAAGTACTAAGAATTAGTAAGAAGGTTTAATACGACAACAGGGCATATAACAGCATTTTTATCATACATAATAGTAATGACAACTAACATCTGGAATGGGTCAAAGATGTTCTTTTGATGAAATATCCACGCTTGTTTCTGATACTGAAGTGGCTTGTGCTTTAGAGTGCCATCCATTTTTATCTTTGAATTTGATTCTGAAAGTGAGAATAGGCTCACATACTGACATAGAGACATCCCATCATCACTGGGGAAATTCTGTGTATTTTTTGTGTAAACCTGAAAAAACTCTTTGAAAAATTTCACTAAAGAAAACACTGAACCAATAAATTCCAGAACATATTTACATGCACACAAGTGGTAGAATTGGGCAGTTCAGTCTATGATTCATTGCTGATATCCAGTAAATGTTTAGTAAGGAGTCACTCTCCTAATTGACTTACAGTGGTCAACACTACAAATCTGTTTCATCCACACCACTGGTCAATTACAAATCAAAACAAAGCAGTGCCACAGAATACAAACTGCTGTCAGGGCGATAATGTGTAGTCATTATATATAGGTTTACTTTGGAAAGTTTTCAGGTGATAGATGTGCCATCTAACAAGTATTGATATACAATAGGATCTGGAGTGGGACTGAAGGTAGGGACAGAAGTGGAGTGGGACTGAGGGTAGGGACAGGAGTGGAGTGGGACTGAGGGTAGGGACAGGAGTGGAGTGGGACTGAGGGTAGGGACAGGAGTGGAGTGGGACTGAAGGTAGGGACAGGAGTGGAGTGGGACTGAAGGTAGGGACAGAAGTGGAGTGGGACTGAGGGTAGGGACAGGTGTGGAGTGGGACTGAGGGTAGGGACAGGAGTGGGACAGGAGTGGAGTGGGACTGAAGGTAGGGACAGGAGTGGAGTGGGACTGAGGGTAGGGACAGCAGTGGGGTGGGATGAGGGTAGGAACAGGAGTGGAGTGGGACTGAGGGTAGGGACAGGAGTGGGGTGGGACTGAGAGTAGGGACAGGAGTGGAGTGAGACTGAGGGTAGGAACAGAAGTGGAGTGGGACTGAGGATAGGGACAGGAGTGGAGTGGGACTGAAGGTAGGGACAGGAGTGGAGTGGGACTGAGGGTAGGGACAGGAGTGGAGTGGGACAGGAGTGGAAGGTAGGGACAGGAGTGGAGTGGGACTGAGGGTAGGGACAGGAGTGGGGTAGTGGGACTGAGGGTAGATAGGACAGGAGTGTGAATGATAGGGGACTGATGGTAGTTACAAAGTGAATGATAGATTGGGACTGATGGTAGTTACAATGTGAATGATAGATTGGGACTGATGGTAGTTACAAAGTAAATGATAGATTGGGACTGATGGTAGTTACAGAGTAAATGATAGATTGGGACTGATGGTAGTTACAGAGTAAATGATAGATTGGGACTGATGGTAGTTACAAAGTGAATGATAGATTGGGACTGAGGGTAGTTACAAAGTAAATGATAGATTGGGACTGAGGGTAGTTACAAAGTAAATGATAGATTGGGACTGATGGTAGTTACAGAGTAAATGTGAATGATAGACAGAGTTAGGGACTGATGGTACAAAGTGAATGATACAATGTAAATGATAGATTGGGACTGATGGTAGTTACAAAGTAAATGATAGATTGGGACTGAGGGTAGATACAAAGTGAATGATAGATTGGGACTGATGGTAGTTACAAAGTGAATGATAGATTGGGACTGATGGTAGTTACAATGTGAATGATAGATTGGGACTGATGGTAGTTACAAAGTGAATGATAGATTGGGACTGAGGGTAGTTACAAAGTAAATGATAGATTGGGACTGAGGGTAGTTACAAAGTAAATGATAGATTGGGACTGAGGTAGTTACAAAGTGAATGATAGATTGGGACTGAGGGTAGTTACAAAGTAAATGATAGATTGGGACTGAGGTAGTTACAAAGTGAATGATAGATTGGGACTGAGGGTAGTTACAAAGTGAATGATGAAATTGAACTAAGGGTTGGGAAGTGATGATAAGGGATAAAGGATGATCTATGTATGGGGATGTGATAAGGCTGATAACTTATGAGAATTGGCTGGAGTCAGTGTGGACAAGATAGGACAGGGTCACTCTGTCAGGGGACATTAGGACATATACATACCTGGATCTCTGGCATCCACACTGTTGAGAATAGTCTGTAGGAATGTCTGTGTGTAGTTCTGAATGGGGACCAGGTTTTTCTGCAGAATTTGTAGAAAGGCTGATGAAGCTGCCAGCTGCATCTCAGTCTGGGCCACATACAGCACCTCCTGTCAATTAGATACAACGGCATGTTGATGGTGTCATTTTATATCATCTTTATTTCTGTCATCCCCAACTCAACACCCACAAAATAACACAGACCATTCCGATTTAAGTAAGCCCTGTCATCCCAACCAAAACATTCTTTATATATATATAACAGATATCAACATTATCTTTCTAGGTCAAATATATTAATATAGAAATGTTGTATTTAGGTCAGTTTGATGAAACAGAATGTAATACTATACTTTGTGTTATTTGAGTATAAAAAAATCCTTTCACAACAGGTAAAATTTCCACCAAATTTGTCTGTATTCATTTGACAGTTGATGTATCTTAATCTATTTCACTAAGATGATACATCTTTTGATGCTTTCTCCAACACTTCATGCCAGATTAAGTCGGTCAAACTCCACTATAAATATAGGTATTGGTTACAGACCTAAACCAAAATACTTCATCACTTTCAAAAACTTCCAAACAACTTTGGTCAAGAAAACAAGCTATTCCTTTCACATTGACCAGTGCACCCTATCCATCAATATACGCTTGGTTTACTGTGAATATAATACCCACCAGTTAAGGTTAACCTTACTTCAAAATATATAACAGTGTTTATCTATCTCTTCATTCAAAGTCAGGGGTGTGCTAATTACAGGACAATGAAATAGTGTTTTCTGACATTCCTAGAGGCCCAAGAATTGGCATGGTTGGCCTTTATCTGTAAAATCATACTTTTTCAATAATATTACCATGTTGATAACTACATGAATCTAAAAATATGTTGGTGGATGTCCGATAATAAGCCCACCCATATATCTAATATTTTGATGAATAATAACATGCTCTTTAACTATTTTGTAATTAACCCACCCTGAAAGTTTTGTGCTGACCCTGACCCTGTACTGACCTCTACACTTATTAAAGACTGAAGGTGATAGTGTAAATAAAATCAGTTTTAACTTTATGCATGGATGTGTATGTACTTCACATGACAAGAATCAATTTCATTTATTTTTTGTGAACATTATGAAGTTCCACCATCTTGTATTAATCAATCTTATTGGCCTCAACATGCTGATAAAATACTTGGAGTCACACAGTTTTTTTATCATCCCTATTTAATTTGATGCAGGAAAAATGTCAATTTGAACTGTGCTCTAGAAGATACCATACAACTGAAATATGTATGATTCACAACATGTGATATTTCTCAGTACGTCCCACTTTAAAACTGTAATCAATATCAACATTCCAATATTATATTGTATCTTTTTATTTTCAGAAAGTTTGTTTTTTTAATTAAAAATGACAAAGTATCATAAATGATTGGCTGATAAGATAAGAAAAATTAAATGTTATTTCATCACTGTGTTACTGAGAAACAATTCAATGTTATTTAACTGGTATCCATGACAACATATTTCATCATAACACAGTAGGGTACAATGATAGACCATAGTAATTAGTAATCTTGGCACTATTGAGCATCAATATTGTACAACCCTTTAAATATCTAAGGCTAAATGGGTGTTAACAGCACTTAACTTTCCAGTACTTGAGGCAATTGCGGGGTTTATTTTTAACACAAAAACAAACATGTTGTAACTATTTTTGGAAGCATATTTTCTACCTTATTTCCAGAGTGATCATCAGTGCCTTTTCATACAGGAAAGTCAATATTGCTATATCTGAACATTTCATGTCCAATTACACAACTCGCATCGAAGTAGTTTAAAAAAAAAACAGAAAGAAAAAAGAAGACAAAGAGGGACGAACTCCACTCCGAATGCATGCTGTTTAGAAGACTTTTTATTCCAACAAATGCATCATTCTTTGTAATTCACCAAGCTGTTGTTTAATACAAGAACAAGTATTACGTTAAACCTCATCAACCTAGAATATCCTAAACTTTTTATCTAAAACCCCCTACTTATGTTTTACACAGCAAACACATTATCATCCTATCGTGTGTTGATGATGATGACAAGAACACTTTCCCGACCAACACCAATAAGGTCCACATCAGATAAAATGTTTCCCAATAAACAGACAAGCACTTCAACATTTCTCCGTAAATAAGCTCTGACAATAAGACAAAAATCAATGTAAAGAAATCTTAAAACACCAGATAAGTCTAGAAACAATTTTCCCCCCCGGAAGATAAATGAAGAATTTACCCTTGGGACATGCTATATAGGTACAGCATGATTGAAAATGAGTTGCCACTATTATCTACTACAGCAGTGCAGACATCGCGTCTTCAGAACTTGGTTATGGTAAAGAAGCTCATAGATCTACATTAATGCAAATTTTGTTATCTAGAGTGAGTTTCTAAAACCAGAATTAGACCAGCTGGAATGACCATATAAATAAAAGAAAGATATTGATAAAGTTGTCATATATCATAATTTTGGCATTGTAAACCAATTTGGTAATAAAGATAGGACAACTTGAAAATCTAAAATGGGTGAATTAAAAATATATGTAAGGGAGATTACTTCAACACAATTCAAAATTATAAAATATAAGGTAGCATACAACCTTAAGTGAACATTTTATCTCCATAGATACATGCATGACCTTTATAGTACTTATGTCACTGGGTCTACCTACATGGAAGTATATTTTTACAATTATAATATATATGACACGTTAGGAAAACACTAAAAACTATTGATTCGTCAGAAGTTTGTTTTTCCTCTAGATTCTTGACTGTTGAAATTTGATTTTCTGAAGCACATAACTTACAATCAAATAAATGTTACTCCGAGGCATCATTTGGCTCTTGTTAAACTTTAGTGTTTACTGCTGTGTTTTAAACGAGGGTACAAAACAACACCACTCTTCAATAGCCTTGGAGTGTTTCCGTATGCGCCTTCCTTTAGCCTAAAGAAAAATCTTCCAACACACAGAAAAACTGAAGTTTATTGAATCAAAATCAAGTCTGGAAGGTTTCAACAATAAAAATCTCTCCATCTGGAACAGTTCTGCTTCGGAGATGAAAGATTTTAATTAGAAATCGGAAATGCTTTAAGCAGGTTTATTGCAAGCATAGAGACATGGAGTTTTAGAGGCGCACTGCCAGTTACATCATTACTAAATCTAGTTTAGCTATCATTCTGCTAAATCAAACAAAAAAAAACTGTAAATGCATATTATTTTGTTGTCATCTTATTTGAGCGTTTTTCGAGCTGTAAATACCATGCTAGGATAGGATTGTACTTGTTGTAGTTTCTGTTATTAGTTATATATCAATCATTTTGGATACATTCATTCTTCATTGTGCTAATTTGCCAAAAAACGATATTGTGCAAAAAATTTGACTGTGCTAAATTAAGTATGTTTATAGTAAAATAAAAATCAGCTTTTCCTAGTACAGTAAGTAACACAGGTTCTGCTGACAATAGGTGTACAAGTGGTTGACATTTCCATGTGATTTAAATACAGCAAAGTAATTAAAATGAAAAAAATTAACAGGAAACTTTGGATAATGGAAAATGTGTTTTAAATAGAATTAAAAAAACAAACTGGAATATACCATTTGACAAGCTGACGATCATTATTGTGACTATAATGTGATTTTCAGGAGTAAAATGAATATTTCATTACACATGTCCAATAAGTGACAGAGAATATTACCCGACTCATTGTATAATCTATCACATTATATTGATGTTTATTGATGTTTAAAACTAACACAAACAATAAAATGTAGCATTTCAAATGATGATCATGTTTAATATTTGCCAACTAATCAATAAAGCATTATGGGTAATTTTTCTAACCAATTAAAAACTCCAGTTTACAGAAGTCTACATTCTCAAATTACTGTGTTTGCAGTTCTAAAGAGGATTTTTTCTTTGGTTTGTTAATCATGATAATATTTTCAGTTTTCAGCTTGTCATTGATGGCAATGCAATGTTATCAAATTTTTACCTCATGGAAACACCATAATAAATTACAAGAGTATTGGAGAGATTGTGGATTGTGAAGTTATCAGAGGGGGAGGTGGGGGGTTGTGGTGGAGGGGGTGTGGGGGAGAGAGTGATGTGGTATGTAACTGACATTTATATTTAAGCATGTTGGCGATGAGATTCTATCTGATTCTTATACTACACAGAATTCCTACAGGAAATGACCTGTAATATTAGATATGGGCAACATGTACGTGTCCATGTTTTAAACAAGACAGCTGTGGTTTTTTAAGGTGTGATGAGGAAATGGGTATGATTGGGTAATTGTTAGGGTGTGGGTAGAGGATACATGTGGTGAGGTATCACAGGTCATAGGTCAGGGGCTTACAGGATGTGGATACAGTTTCAAGTTCATAGGTCACGAATACAGGTTAAAGGTTATAGACTAAAGATCAAAGTACATATATATATATATTTACATGTCTGATATTCTGTAATTTTCAACCAGAAAGAAAACATGTCCAAATTAACCAAAAACACAAAAATTCACTATGTATGAAAATTCAATAATTTGAAATTCAAATTAAACCTGATTCTTTTAAAAACTAAAACTTTTACCATACAAATTCTGATTCCATGATTATTCAGAATGTTGCCCAGAGTTGAAACAACCCTGTATGTTTTGAAATTGTGCTAGCATGATAACACAATGATGATGTTTCACTCCAAAATAACATCCTTACTAGAGAAAAAACAGCCCACACATCTCCTCATTATAAATATTGGTTATTATACACAAATGCCAAATGTTGTAATATAAACACTGTATTTATGACAGGCCAGCTAGGAATGTGATGATGATAAACTTATGAATCTATTAGTAAATACCATATAGGTCACAGGTCAAATTACTTAAAGTGTTGGCATTAATGGTCAAATAACAGACACCTGCCACCCTGGTCAGTTAATTAGATGGTCAGTCATGAAGTCCCTGAAGGATTAGGTGTAAGGTCTCTGCCTGGCTCAGACTATCTTTACATTACAGAGATGGGGATCCATGGGTTATATAATCAGGAATTAGGATATGT